TAGCCAGATGTAACGTTCAGGTAGGACAAAGCTTGTTCACTATTGCGCACCTAGATATTCTACATTGATTTTTCAAATTGGATGCAATTTGCAGAATCAATGTAGAATTAATATTTCGACTCGGGAAAGACTCGGGAATGAGAACGAATTGTCATTGCACTTGGACAATCTTCTAACACTGATTTCTAGTATTGATCGATATTCGATTTTCGGTACTGATTTACTCTTTCATTCCTCTACAAGAAAAAAAAATTGATACGACTCATCCATTTAACCGCGTTAATTTGATGAATAAATTAAATATTGATCGGTCTTCAATTTTCGGTACTGATTTATTCTCTCTTTTCTTTTATAAGACAAGAAAAATTGATATGAATCATTCGTTTATTCGAGTTAATTTGTTGAATAAGATTAGAGGGGTAAGTACCTGAAAAATGAGAACAAATTGTTATTGCACTTGGACAATTTTTTGACACTGATTTATGGTATTAATCGATATTCGATATTCGGTACTGATTTACTCTTTCATTTCTCTATAAGAAAAAAAAATTCATACGAATCGTTCATTTATCCGCGTTAATTTGATGAATAAATTCAATATTGATCGGTCTTCAATTTTCGATACTGACTGATTCTCAATTCAATCAATACAATTTTCTAACGCTGATTCATAGTATTAATTAATATCCGGTTTTCGATACTGATTTAGTCTTTGATTTCTCTATAAAAGAAAAAAAGATTGATATAAATTGTTCATTTATCCGCGTTAATTTGATGAAAAAATTAGATATTGAACGGTCTTCGATTTTCAGTATTGATTTATTTTCTCATTGTTTTACAAGACAAAAAAAATTTATACGAATCGTTCGTTTATCCGAGTTAATTTGTTGAATGAGATTAGAGGGGTAAGTACTTGAAAAATGAGAACAAATTGTCATTGCATTGGACAATTTTCTGACACTGATTTATGGTATTAATCGGTATTCGATTTTCGATACTGATTTACTCTTTCATTTCTCTATAAGAAAAGGAAAAATTGATACGAATCGTTCATTTATCCGCGTTAATTTGATGGATAAATTCAATATTGATCGGTCTTCAATTTTCGATACTAACTGATTCTCAATTCAATCAATACAATTTTCTAACGCTGATTCATAGTATTAATTAATATCCGGTTTTCGATACTGATTTAGTCTTTGATTTCTCTATGAAAGAAAAAAAGATTGATACAAATTGTTCATTTATCCGCGTTAATTTGATGAAAAAATTAGATATTGAACGGTCTTTGATTTTCGGTATTGATTTATTTTCTCATTGTTTTACAAGACAAAAAAGATTTATACGAATCGTTCGTTTATCCGAGTTAATTTGTTGAATGAGATTAGAGAGGTAAGTACTTGAAAAATGAGAACAAATTGTCATTGCACTTGGACAATTTTTTGACACTGATTTATGGTATTAATCGACATTCGATTTTTGGTACTGATTTACTCTTTCACTTCTCAATAAGAAAAAAAAATTCATACAAAACGTTCATTTATCCGCGTTAATTTGATGAATAAATTCAATATTGATCGGTCTTCAATTTTCGATACTGACTGATTCTCAATTCAATCAATACAATTTTCTAACGCTGATTCATAGTATTAATTAATATCCGGTTTTCGATACTGATTTAGTCTTTGATTTCTCTATGAAAGAAAAAAAGATTGATACAAATTGTTCATTTATCCGCGTTAATTTGATGAAAAAATTAGATATTGAACGGTCTTTGATTTTCGGTATTGATTTATTTTCTCATTGTTTTACAAGACAAAAAAATTGATACGAATCGTTCGTTTATCCGACTTAATTTGTTGAATGAGATAAAGGGGTAAGTACTTGAAAAATGAGAACAAATTGTCATTGCACTTGGACAATTTTTTGACATTGATTTATGGTATTAATCGACATTCGATTTTTGGTACTAATTTACTCTTTCACTTCTCAATAAGAAAAAAAATTCATACGAAACGTTCATTTATCCGCGTTAATTTGATGAATAAATTAAATATTGATCGGTCTTCAATTTTCGGTACTGACTGATTCTTTAATTTCTTTATAACAGAATAAAAATTGAATACGAATCGTTCTTTTATCCGACTTAATTTGTTGAGTAAATTAGTGGGGTAAGCACCTGCAAGATGAAAACAACTTGTCATTGCACTTAGACAATTTTCTAACGCTGATTTATAGTATTAATCAATATCCGGTTTTCGATACTGATTTAGTCTTTGATTTCTCTATGAAAGAAAAAAAGATTGATACAAATTGTTCATTTATCCGCGTTAATTTGATGAAAAAATTAGATATTGAACGGTCTTTGATTTTCGGTATTGATTTATTTTCTCATTGTTTTACAAGACAAAAAAGATTTATACGAATCGTTCGTTTATCCGAGTTAATTTGTTGAATGAGATTAGAGGGGTAAGTACCTGAAAAATGAGAACAAATTGTCATTGCACTTGGACAATTTTCTGACACTGATTTATGGTATTAATCGGTATTCGATTTTCGATACTGATTTACTCTTTCATTGCTCTATAAGAAAAGGAAAAATTGATACGAATCATTCATTTATCCGCGTTAATTTTTTTTTTTATTATGTATAAATGGTCCATGGGACGATTAAATATTCGAATATATGTTGCCAAAGTCTCCTCTATAATAAACGATTTGACACGTCTGGGGACGCATGATGTATCGTTGCCCGCATCCCATTCCCTTCGTCCTACTTTTCTATATAAAATGTCGAATTGAAACGTATTAAAAAGTATTGACATTTTGAATATGTCTGATTTCTGAATCTTTTTGATCCGAAGAAAAGGATTGAAAAGTATTAGTTTCCATTAAATTTTACTGCGCTAAATGCGAGATGGTCTCTTTCACCCGAGTGCCTCACCAGGGAAATTTCTCTGGTACGCTAAATCCCGTAAGGTCATCAGTCTTTATAGTATATCTCGTCGGTGCATAAGGTTTATATTACCTGTACATACATATTTTGAAACATTTTCTTTGGATATTATATCAAACGGATTTTGCGTGTCACGTAATATCCTTCGGACTACACGGACATTATTATTTTGATCAATTTGATTTCTTTGGTATTCATTGAATTATCCAGAACGCGCAACTGCCATGTTGAACGACTCAATTGTCGTGTGAAATGTTTCGATTTTCACAAATTCATATAAAATTTTTCATTTTTCACTGATTCGCAGAAGTCTTTCACTTTTCACTAGTTCATGCTAGGGAAAAGATTCATGATCGCTGCCCTGAGCAGCTGCAACGCTTTTCGAATCATCTATGTCGGCGCACTTTTACTCCTCAGATTTCTGTCATTAATAACTCGATAATTATTGCGAATCTCGCAAAATGGTACGGGACTTTTATGTTTGTCTCAACCCAATCTACCCTCACACTTCGAGTTGGCAGCTAATTACCGGACACTTCGTATGATCTTCATGATATTAATCATACACAATGTCAATTCTTTTTTTTTGCACATGTTAACATGTTAATTCATGTTATAAACGCGTAACAATGTGCGAGACCGTGCTTGTCAAATATGCTATTATGGTTGTAGCACGGACATAAACCGCCTAAAAATGGATGTAGCACGGATTGCCACCACATACAGGTTTTACCGCCGAAACCTGAATGTGGATGTAGCCTCGTAGTTCCCCTCTCAAAATGGATGCAGATGGCGGCCTTTCCCAGTGCGAAAAATCGGTGTCGTCGAAAACACCGTGTTGGCCGCTCTCACGTTCTTCTCTGCTATGAACCATTCATAACAGCCGGAGCCATCTTTTGAAAATGGACCGAACTAATTTGTACACCCAATAGTAAATTTGAAAATTTATCGATAATTTTACCGCAACTATCAAATCCAAATATTTCCCTTTTTAAAGGATCCACTCAAATATCTCAAATATCAAAATTTTTATTAATTTAATAATTTTGAAATTTCCAAAGGTCGATAAGTTAATAAAAGTTAGGGCATTTATATTATATTATAGTAATATATTCTTGATAGTAAATAAAGTAAAAAAGTCTAATACTATTTTTTCTTTCGACGAATAGTTATTGAGATATTGTAAAATAAATGTTGGAAAAGTTACCAAGTTTTCCTTAAATATCTCAAAATACATTAAGCAAATATAAAAATGTTTCAGACAAAAGTTGTTCAAATTAATTGGTAGAAAAATATGATGTAATAAAAAGTTGTGATTTCCATTTAAGAAAATTGATGATCAGTGAATATCTCGAAAGTGGCATCTATAAATAAAATGCTATCGCTGTCTTATGTCCCCCTTCAAGCCAAACAACTTTTATCTTAAGCATTTTCCGATTTAACGCAGTGTTTCTGAGATATTTGAGTAGATCCTTTAAAATGAGACACCCTGTATATACCAGAGAAATGTACATACAGCTTATAATTAGAATTGAAATTTCTATACGCGCCCACACACGTACAGTATGACTATACTCGATGTCCTATGGCTGTCTCGACGATGTCTTTGATAGGTTTTAGGCTCCTAGGTTTTAGGTTCGTAGATTTTAAGTTTCGGAACCTCTTTTACTTTTGAAGAATATATTTCTGAGAGTGATCAGTAATCTTTTCTGGTCCATTAACAACTTCTCCTGATTTTATTTTAAGTGTTTTGTGACATTTTTCGATATTTCCGTGCATTCTAAGTTTTTTGTAGGTTCAGATATGTGGAATTTTGAAAAAAGCCTAACGGCATTTGAAAGTAGAGGTCAAGACGAAAATTTTGAACCTAGAGTTGATTTGGATTCAAAGAAAAATGGAGAAAGCACTGATCCGCTTAGAAAAGAATGCCCCATATACATATATATATATATATATATAAGAAAACAATCTTTATTCATTGTGTGCAATAACCATATAAAAATCCCATGGTTTTATTCCCAAGTTACAAAAGTTTTTTTTTAAATGTATATAATATATTAATCTGTTTATATAAACATCTCTCTTCTGTATATATGTTCATTTAGAGAAATTTGAAAACAATTTTATCATACAGAATGTATGATAAAATATATATACAAAAATAAAAGTTACTCAACACAATGTTCAATAATAATCAGGTACAGGTGCACATGCTATTTTTACAAAATCTTCATATTTCACATGTCCATTCAAGGATACATTGGCTTCGCGAAAAATTTGCTCCACTACAAGAAAGCAATATTTAGAATATTAAATGTAAAATTAGATCAAGTGTTTTTACAAACCTTCCTTGCTACTCAATTGTTCTCCCCAATGAAGCAACATATGTGCTAATTGCCGAGCTGGAATAGTGCCATTATGAGATATATCTGCAGCTTGAAAGGCTTTAATTACTTCTTTTGGTAGGTCTTCTACTCGAGTCTGAAGATGCATAACTTCCAAAAAATCAGCAAAAGACATTTTTCCACCTGTGAGCAAAAGAAAAATTACATATATTCATTAAAAAAATAAATATTATAAAGGTCCTGTTACCTTTATTTTTCATATATTTGTTTAATTCTGCAATAGTTGGGCTTAACCCAAGGGATCTCATAATTATAGTGAGCTCATCAAGTGTCCGAATTTGACCACTTTGTGCAAATAGATAGAAACATTCTCGAAATTCTGTAAAGATGTTTTAAAATTTGTGAATTAAATATAAGTTATGCAGTTTAATATTTTATCATTATTCTTAATGTACCATCTATATCTTCTTCTCTGAAGTATCGTGCCTGCAATTTCATAAAATATAATGAATAATATATACAAACATATATAGTAAAAATAAAATTATAAACAAAAAATACCTGTTATGCAAAAAGAAAGTTGAATATCAAATATAATCAGAAATATAATTAATACAGTAAGTCAATTCTCAAAATTTTTTAATTTGATAACATTTCGAAGACGTCAATATAATCAAAATATGTATTAAACTTACCATGATAGATTAATTTTATGAGAATTCTATTCACTTTTTGAATAAAGTTTGAATATCTTTGCCTTTACTTTTTTACAACTTTCATATGATCAAAATATGAAGCATCACAATCTAACCTCACTCTATTGTATGAAAGCCATATCACCATTGAATAAGACTTGTTGGTCGTCGAAAAATTCTCTCTCTTTCTCTCTATTTATATATATATATATATATATATTCTTATCATCAGAATATATATATATATATTGAATGTATATTTATTTTATTAGTCCACTTATTAATATGAAAAATTGATTTTCATGCAATTATTTATAAAATGTCAAGGGTCATTTTAAGTTAACGTGCTCTAACCTTATGCACAAGTTAATCTTGTGTCAAATATCTTGTATATATATACAATTAAGCTATGAATATGCACAAATACACATATATAAATAAACAATTTTAATAGAATAAAATCGAAATCGGAACTGTTAAATATCTTAGTGGACCAATACTGGGACCAAGCCAATGCATTCGTCTAGTCTGACCCTGATGAAAATATAAAATAATTCTTTGTAATTTATAAATTTCAATATCGTTTGTATTTTGTTAACAGTTTAACATGTCATTTTTTGATTTTAAATGTTTCATTCGTTTTCATAGAATAAATATTTAAATACATTCGCTATCTTTAGAGGTAGTTTCACATAAACATAATATATTCTTTTGATAATAATCACTTCACTTTCTTATCCTATTAAGCATACACAGTATTATAATCCATCATAATACACAAAATACTAAAATATAGATTTACATCATTTCTAGAATCATACGATGAAGAAACAATATCACAGTTAAACAGTTATACTAACAATTATTACTATATTATTCTATTTAGCTCAAAGTATAATAGAAATAAATTAAATTTAAATAAAAAAATGATAGAAATATCTCAATAAATATATTATTTCTATACTAATACTACAAAGAATTACATAAGTCACTTTTAAAGCATTGTAAATCTATAAATACTATTTAAAGCGTAAAGAACATAATCTAAAAAGATTCAAGTTTCTGGTAAGGACATTAAGGTCGAAAAATTGTACTATGAATATCTAAGTAATTTACAAATTATTATGGAATGCACATTATTGCATAAGATTTTGCTTCTTATAGACCAATTAGCTGTTTTTGCAATATAATCCAATCAACAATTTTTTGCTGAATCTGTCGTTTCTCCAGTAAAGTTGTAGCAGCCTTTTGAAATTTGTCTTCATTTCGTCGAATATACATCCTCGCATCTTGCTCCATTTGATCAATTTTCTCAGGTCGTATCTCCACCATTGATAACATTTCCGTCAAATAAGGATTAAATCTGAAGTAGATGTGATCAGGTAATAGATCATTCAGCATCGTGTGTACAGCTAAAAAGGAAAAATCAGTATTAAAATATTCAGTTTTAACACAATGATATTCTTTATTTTAATTTTCATTTTATAAAATGAAGTTTATTGTATTTACCTTCCGTATCGGTAGCGCTATCTAAGATTTTGTAGAATTTTTCCCTCCAGCTTGAAATTGCTAATTGCGAAGGTATTGATTCATTTTCGCAAATACGATGTGGAATCCGACCAGTGCCAAACGATACGACACACTGAATCGGATTATTCGGCCATAATTGTTTAGCTTCATGAATCGCCACAGCGCATGGATTGTTTACTAAAATGCCTGTAACAGCATCATGATAATTTAACATCTAGAAAACTATGAAAATTTTTATGTGGATGAAACTTTGTATTGAAATTTCCTACATAACTTACCGCCATCTTGGTGAAGACATTCACCATACTTAAATTCTTCAAAGTAACTCGGTGCAGCAGCTGATGCTCTTACAGCTTCCCATAATTTATGTTTATGAGATCCCATGTATTGACTTTCCACCCGATGTGGTAATGTATAGTTTCTAAAAACGTAAGCCATAACACGTTCGTGATTTACCACTGCAGATATTGCTGAAAACTAAAAAACATATACATGATTAAATGCTTTTTATATCTAAATTATCCGTTTGTATATATGACTCATATATTATAAATTTTACTTCAAATTCTACTCGATATGTTGACTGTTACACACCTTTGGTGCATTTGGGTCACGAGTAGTTTTGATTAGAACCTTATCACCTAAATGCTCTGCTAATAATTGTTCCCATAGTGCAGTATCATAATATGCATGGCTCCAGACTAAACTGCTTGTACCTTTTATAGCACTTTGTGTGAACACTTTAGTGCTCAATTCTTTGTATAATTCTGACACTTCTTCCAATGACTTTCTCTTGTGTCCTCCTACAATATTAAAAACGAAAAAATCATGAGTCACATATAATACAAAAATTTCTAATTTATTAGCAAGATAAATGCATCGCCATGTATCGTGTTGTAAATCCATTATTTAGAGAAAAGTTTACCTTCAATAACATCCTTTGGTAATACTGCATATGATTAACACAAAATTAGTACACGTATGTCAGATGTGAAATTAATGTATTTTATCTCTCAATATCTTTCAATAACGCAACATTATCTTGCAATATTGTTATAATAATGTTTTAATGTGATTTGTAAAAATCTCAAAACTGTATAATTACCTAATACAGCAGCCAGAATAGCACCTGTGCTCACACCACATATGTAGTCAAACATTTCATATGTTTTCTTTCCTGTGAGTTCTTCCAGCTTCTTCAGCATCTCTATTACTAATACTCCACGAATACCACCTCCATCGATTGATAAGATTCTGATACCACGACTAGGTAGAGGATCAACATAACCCATTACAGCAAGTGCTTCTCTAACAGATGCTGTCGAAATAATATATGACTAAAACCTGATTTTTTTCTTTTCTATATTTATTCTATATTTACTTCTTATACCTTTAATCTGTTCATCCTTTGTCTTCTGACGAGTTTTTAGCAAAACTCTGATTGCTCCTTCCTTAATCGCATAATGTCTGGCTTCTGAGTATTGATCAATATGGAAAAGAAGATCCTCAATTCTCCGTAATTTGGAAGCATTTGACTCAGCTGACAAAATACTATTCAAAACATGACGTGTACGAGATACAATGCTATGCTTTGGTATGTTGCTGCCAATATTCACTTTCCATTTTGGTATAACAATATTTTGTTTATTCTTGACAGATAACTTGGGAAATAATGCTGAGAGAATTTGTGGAATGGTAAGGTTTTCTTTTAATTCTGCTTTATTAATAGATACAGCTTGTTCGTGAATTTGCTGTTAAAGAAATTAATTTTTTGGATCAAATATATAAATATTAGCTTCTTAAGTTAAATTAATTTTAAGTTTAAAATAATTACCTTTTGTATTTTTGGTTGCACAGTTTTAGAACTATCTATAAGAGATTCTGCTTGATCAGACATATGAGTTACTCTTGTATTTTCATTACTATCCTTTTGCTTTGTATCCAACGAATTCTTATTTGGTTCGGTGGATTTGATAGAATCAGAAGATGACAATTTTCGTATGGTGTCAAGTTGCGAATAGGTTAATTTTTGCAAGATATCTAACCAATCTTTCGAGAAATTAATCTGCTGGTTTTTGTCGTAATTGGTCTTGTTTAAATATTCTCTTAATTGTGATAAAAGCTTCCATTGATTTTGCATTGACATTTCGACTTTTTTTATGTTGTTTATAATGCGTAAGAGATTATTTGTAACGCTTGTTATGTTCCTATTGGCTTCTTTACTAGCTGCATTGTCCGTAAACTTTCTATAATTGGCAAACACATACCGGTTGACACATATTTGTTGAATTATTACTTATATTTCTAACACAAAAAATACAATAATAATCTAATTTACGATGATAACTCTATGATGAGTAACAATAGATCTATTTGCGTTATTTGCACGTTATTTGCACTTTTGACTTATGGGTCTGTTCTTTTTTGCTGCGTCGATATTCACTGCCAGCATTGAAATTCTATAGTATACGTGATAGAAATTATATATTTTCAATACTGGCAGTGAACTTCGGAACGCAGCCTTTAGACACTACTGAACTGATATAATAAGTTAGAGTGAGAAAATATATTGTGATCTCACTCTAATTTAACGCACCAGTTCAGCAATGCAGCTAGAAAGAACAGATCACATACCTCATGCCCGTTACACATTGACCTCGCTTTGGAAAGAAGAACTCTGATTGGATATCGTTTATCGTGTTCGATATGCAACGGGCATTAGACGTAAAAATATCAAAAATGGAAGTTCCCTAGTAGCACACTTCATTGACGTTACATTGGTATTACGTTGGCTATGTTGACATAAATTGAAGTTACATTGGCCCAGTGTATCCCAATATACAGCCAATATTGGTTAGATATTAAATTATAATATATCGCCAATATTGCATAGCATTGTTATATCAATACCCAGACAGCACACGGATGTCCATTGGATGTCCGTTATATGTCCACTTTTTTACAAAAGACGTCCATAGGATATACGTTTGTCACAATTTCGGACATAGGACGTCCGATGGACGTACATCGGACGTCCTATAGGTCTGATGTCCAATAAGGGCATCCTTGTTACGTCCAATTTATGTCCACAGACGTAAATCGGACATACGGACATAGGCTGCGTTCCGATATTCACTGCCAGTACTGAAAATATATAGTTTGCATCACGTATACTATAGATTTTTAGTGCTGACGGTGAATATCGGAACGCAGCCCTAAATTGGACGTGAAACGTACATCCACTGGATGTCCGGTGCTATCTGGGTATTGACTTATATTGAGGTTACATTGGCCCAATATATCCCAATATGCAACTAATATTGGTTAGGTATTAAATTATAATATATCGCCAATATTGCATAGCACTGTTATACCAATATTGACTTACATTGGGGTTACATTGGCCAATATTGGGGGTCCAATTTGTAGCCAATATTGGCCCAATAATATGTGCTACTAAGGTTATCGCGAACAAACCTCTTATTGTATTGTCTTCATCAACCTTCATCGAAGAACAGACGCCAGTCTTTTTATATTTTTTATATTAGTATGGACGTTATTTCCTTAATTATTATTAACCCCTTGACATACAAATAAAACGGAATTTGATGCGTTTGAAAAATACTATTTAATTTAGCTCAACTGAACAGTTATGTGTAAGCTTAGAAACAAAACATTTTATTTTGAAATTTGCATTGCTATATAACATTTAATCAGGTTGATATATAATGTTAATGGACAATAATTAAGTAACATTATAAAATAATAAATTAGTAGTTCTGCAAAGTATGAAACATTTCAAAACATTTTGGAATATGTAAAGGAACTAGACATCTTTTATACCACCAAATTGTTTCGCTTCTTATATTATTTTTTATGTACACATGGCATCTCTTTGCAGGATGTTCCTTTTTATTAGTCGAAGGTATATGTTCAGGAAAATGTGCCCAATGTTTTGCATGTAGCCGAGTTGGGCACTCATTTTGCGACAGTCTGCCACGTGTCGGATAATTAGAAAGAGAAAACTTTAAGAGATCACTGTTATACTGAACGCTGCTTTCAATGTGCTTCTTTCTACTTTGCTGGTTTGCCGATGCGATTTTGTTACCGGTACCGTTGAGAAGGGGGGAGAACCTTGAGCATTCGAAAACAGAATCGACGCACGATTCTCGACGTCCGCCGGAGACAGTTCTTGACATCTCGGAGACATCAGTCTACAATGGCACATGAAATGAATGAAGTCTCCCAGACGTCATTATATGTCAAGGGGTTAAGTAACAGTTATCAGAAAAATAACATTAATAACTCATCAAATTTGAAGAGTAACAATTAATAGATTAAAATTATTTTCATTAACATTCAATTTTACAAGAGCAATAAGTATTTACGATCAACTGTCAATCAATAACCAACTAAAGCCAATAGCACACAATGGGTCTGTCCTTTATAGCTGCACTACTGAACTAGTGAACAATAAGTTAAAATGAGACAAGCATATTTTTCTCACTCTAACTTATTATACTAGTTCAGCAGTGCAGCTATAAATAACAGACCTAATGCTTGTTTTCGTGCTGGATTTAGTGAAGTCCAGTTACATGCTAGAAATGCTAAGTTCTAATTATATCATTTCTAATATGTTATTAGATCTTATTAGACCCAGCATAAAACAAGTACCGTGTGCCACTGGCTCTATTGTTCACGATTCTTCCATTATAAGATGATAACTGATTATGAATCCTTTAATCTACAAAGGCTTGAAATAGCTTGAGACCATAAGGTGTGCACGCATTTTTTGATGCGCGCTCTGCGAAACTATACCCAGTCAGAATCATAACGTTAATTCGATGTTAAAATGGTCGATGAAACGTTGAATCAACGTTAATTCAATCCTCATCGATGTCGAATCAACATTGTGGTTTTGATCGGGAAGGGAAACCAATGGCAATTTTATATCTAGTCGGAGCTGTAATGTTGATTTGACGTTGAAATGATCGATAAACCGTTGAATCAACGTTAATTCAATCCTCACTGACATTGAGTCAACCTTGAATCAACGTTGCGGTTCTGATTGGGTAACAAAATAGCCTTGTTACTTTACTCAGCCGTTCAGTCGACTCAGTCATCACTTATCAAATTCATCATCATTATCTTATAAAAACTTTAAAGAATGTAATCATATGTAATAAACAAATTTTTTATAAATAAAGATTTTTTCAGGAATCGGTCATTTTAATTAGAATTTTTACAGAATTTTGATAGTCTCCCTTCTTTCAACGAGTTCTATAGATTATCCTTATCACGCGTAGGGATGCAACGATTTCTCAAAATATCGATAACGATATTGGTTGCGTTCAGAAAACAAAGCGCTCATTGAGCGCTTAGTAACTATTGGTCTTTACTGTTAGATCTTTACATTCAGACCAATAACGTTGACGAATTACTCAACCGTTGTGTAACCGTTGTGTTTTCTGAACGCAGCCATTATCGTCATTCAGAACCATTGGTAACGATAATATCAATAATTTTAAAAAATATCGATATTTATATCGATATTTATAAAAAAATGTATACATATAGAGGTATGCATATAAAGGATATGTACGAAAAATTTGAAAAGATCTTTTAAAAATTTTTATCTTTATATATAATTTATTGTCGTATTCTTATTAGAAAATATATAAGGAACCGCAGTCACATTTGCCGATCACCATATACATGGAGTAGGAGATCTATTGCGGTTCAACGATTGAGGTGGAAATGATAAAAGTGAGCGAATTTACTAGACATCGAGCAATTACATAATATATATTCTAGTGAATTCACTCACTTTTATAATTTTCATCTCGGTCGTAGGACCGTAATAGGTCCCCAGAACTGTAACTGAAAAATACAAAAATCAGTAAAATTCATATCAATATGTCGATTTTATCGGAGATAAAAGAATATCGATAAATATTCGATATTTGTCTCTCGATATATCGATATGTCGATATTATCGATTTATCGTTGCATTCCTAATCATACGTCGATAAAATCAGAAATAAGAGTTCCTGTTCATTAAACCATCGATACACAATCAAATACAATTAACATAACGGTATGTATTTTGAAGGAATGATTTTAATGGCACATGCTCACAGTATTTCGTTTCCACGAATGAATAAAACATATTTCACATTTATTTGTGTGTGGCAATCACTGTCCACTATCCACAGTTATTACTGTTTAGAAATATATTTAGTAAATACACTGATTTATATCTACCATACAACTATACCATAAATGAATTTTCCAGATACAAAACGCAGACAGGAAAATGTACCTTTGTAATGTATAATAAATAAACAAAACATATTAATCCATATATATTTATGGTATAACAATTGCATTCTATTGTAAAAAAATTTATATTCTGGAAAAACGTTCATTTGTCGAGACTGGCACCAGCAACGTCAACACTATAAATCAAGCGCTGCCGTTGCATCACACATCCCTCGATCATCCGCGGAAAAAAATTAAATGTGTTTTAAATATAGTTCATATTTTGTCCTTTATGTGGACTAAATTAAACTTAAATAAAAACCAAATATTAAAGAGTATTTTAATTCAAATATGTTCTTAATATGCATCCAAATAAAATTTAAATATGATCCTGTCATTAGGTTAACTTTGCCCAGCCACATTACATTTTTACTTGAATTTAACTTCCTTTATATAAAAGACAAATAAGATGTCATATCTAAAATATATTTAACTGTTTCTCGCAGGCAAATATTTTACTCAAAGTTCGTAAGCCGGCAAGCGCGCTATTTATGCAACCGGTCTAAGGCGTTTAAAATTTTTATATTAGATGTACAAATGAATAGTCCAAATTTTTAAACTAAATTTAACCTAAATTTAAACCAAATTTAAAGATTTATTCTGAAAAAAAATAAAAAACTTGATAAATATGACATTTAGAGGGCTCACCTCCAATGATCTTGATGTTGACACATATAGGGTCCCATTTTAATTGTGTACCCCGATTAACATTGTAAAGAGTGGTCGGATAAAAATGTTTTACATAAAAATTATTTAGTTTGAGCAGGAGCATATACTGAATACTTTTAAAGGTTATATTGAGCCTTTTTCCATACTAAATTTTTAATAACCATACTCGTGTTTAATATCTACATGTCAACACTATATAACTGCAAAAGAGCAGGAAAATCAATTAATTTTAAAATTAATTTCTTTGTTGCTTAAAAAATTCGGATTATTCAATTGTACATTTAATCCTTCTTTTTGTTTCCAAACACTTAAGAAGCACATCTTATCCCTTTATTCAATACTACTTGACATGAAGACATATAGCTTAATGAGTTTCGTTGAAATAGATTCGTAGCACATTGTGTAGACCTCTTGCTCTAAATGTATATATAGTTACGAAGTTGAGGATATCAATTACGTAGCCTCTAGGTAGATAGTAAATATGATAATGTATGAGGTGAAATGTATAATTAATTAGATAGAAATAACAATGACTATTCATTTTACGTTTCTAAGTGGATGGAAAAGAAAAACTTGAAAACTCTAAAAATCTTGCACCATTTTATTATACAAACCGGAAGAGAGTCGCTTAAACAGTTGAAAAATGGAAAAGTTAGTAGTTTTAGTTAAATCTCTAATAGCGGAAAACTGGTACACAAACTAAAGACATATTAAATTAAGAAAATATAGACTATATAAAAATCAAACGCAAATATGATATGAAACATTGAATGATACCATCCTTATGTATTTAACCTAACCTAACATTATCTTTGTATATTCTAAGTAAATAAGAAAGTTTTCTTGTAATAATGAAATTTTTTATTACTGACATGTTTTTAAAAGCATTGAATATTATTATTGATGGACTGTGATCTTATTCTTCTCATATCTTTTTTCTTTTTGTTATTATTTTGGTTATAGAATTATAATATATAATGGTATAAATGACTCTCTGTACTTGTGCGATGTTTATATCGACAATAATAATATCCGTACGAGATGCTTTTATCAAGATTACGCAATGGCAATTGTTACGTATGATGAGACATACGACTAAATAATTTAATAACAATAATAGTATTGATTTAATATTTTTCAGAATAATTAAGTGCAATTACGTTCGATTTAATAAGTTATTTGATTGGAAATACATCGGGTAATATGTAGAGGATATTTCAGAATTTCTTATTTTAATCAGTTGATTAATTAACTTTGATGGCAAATAATCTTGAAGTAATGATAGCCAATTCACATTAATTAATAAATAAGTAAATAAATAAATAAAGTTATAGTCTTTAGTTAATATAGTTCACATATTTTTACTCACCTAATTAATAAAATACACTTGTGGCAGTGTTTCACGTGTGTTTTGAAAAACATTGCACTCTCTTTCTCTCTCCCCCTCTGTTATATTTTGCAACTTGCAAAACACGATGTAATTCCCAACACACTTCTTTCAGAAATATTGTTCAATTTTTGTTTAATTTTTTCGCACGATTTTTTTCTGTAAATGCACCGTTAGTATTACAACAAAATCGGTAATAATTACAATTCTGGTCATCGTTTGTTTACGTACATGATAAAAGACGCACAAGTTTCGTTCTAATTAGATCGGCGTAATTTGATCGAGTTTACGATGCGAACCAACCGTATCGTCTTGAACCTTCGCTGTTACTAAACCTAACTTGGATCGCCTCGTTCTTTATACGAAAGTAGCACGTGACACACCGCGTCGGGTTATATCGCGTTTCAACATGACACGGCAAATGGCTTCTCGTAAATAACATCGTACGACACACACGTGGGCCAACCCGGGATAATCGCGTGAATTTACTTCCGCGTCACATACAATGCGACATTAGCCGCGTTCTTTTTTTACGCGATATTTTCAAACGTAATTCACGGCACGCACTATTTTATTTATAAATATTTTCTATACGAGTAATCACACGTACGTAAATCCATCCGTTTCTGTAATGAGTGTATTGAGAGAGAGAGAGAGAGAGAGAGAGAGAGAGAGAGAGAGAGAGAGAGAGAGAGGAGAGAGAGAGAGGAGAGAGGAGAGAGGAGAGAGGAGAGAGGAGAGAGGAGAGAGGAGAGAGGAGAGAGGAGAGAGGAGAGAGGAGAGAGGAGAGAGGAGAGAGGAGAGAGGAGAGAGGAGAGAGAGAGAGAAGGTGGAGGAGGAGGAGGATTGGGAAATTTCGTTTTCCAAAAGTAATTTTTTATCATCAATCATTAGATAGACACGTAATTCGTTCAAGTAATTTGCTGCTACTTATCCCATATATAAAAGTCTGTAATTTCACAATAATTCATAATTAAGTATTGGCCCCTGATAAATAATTACTGAAATATTGGTAGTATCTAATCACTGAGAAAAAATTTCTTATTTAATAAGTAATTTCCAATATTAAATTCTTATAAAGGTAGAATTTCATTACACGTTGACTTTCGATAAAATATTATTTATTAATTATAAGAAACTGAGTATTTATTATTAATTTTTACTGAGTTGACAAATCATTGGCATAAAATATAATATATTGATATAAAATATAGATAAACATATCTGTTAATGATCCGCATGTATAAAATAACGATAAAACCAACGGTCGCCATTTATTCACTCATCTTTTCTTCAAAACAACAATACTTTTAATACACGAAATAACTAATTAATTATTAACTTACTAGTATTAACTTTTTTATAAAGAGATAATGAAATTTTTAAATGCTTAATGTACGCAAACACACATTAATGTGCACACACACGTCTGTTTTTGGAAAATACAAGATTATTAATTAAACACCAAATTTATTAAATTATTAAATTATAAACGCCATTGTTTATTATCAGCATTCATTTCCGGTGTTATATATCGTGGCATCAAGAGTATTTGTACGTTATCTTTCAAGTAAACAAACACGTTTTGGACGCTCGTGACTTAGTTTCATCATAAGTTTACACGCAAATCGGATGATGCCAATGTCACATGGCATCAGTGAAATCAGACTCGCGATAAGCAATACTTCTTATTAGTCGCACTCATATGACCTTGCGATCCTATTGGTCGCCCGCAGAGGCTCGCCATACCGCGTTATTTCTTTAAGAAGAATTACCTTACTACTTAGCCTGAAATGTCACGTCAATAAAGACTACGCACCTATTTAACAGCATCAAAACAAGATTTACCGGTGCGCATTTCCCGGCGAAAAAGTTAATATTAAAACGACGTTGTCGAAACAACATCGTTTCGATATTAGAGCGTCGAAATTAGCTCGAATCGACGTTGATTCGACATCGAGTTATTTTTCTCGCTGGGCTAAGTTATTTGCTGTATCATCCGAGTTATCAACATTGATTCCTCGATATTTCATGTCGCCCTGAAAATTCACAAAAAATTTGTACAATAGTATATGGATAAATATAATTATGTGTAATGGTATCAATCTGATATCATTAACATTATGAACGTGAAGGCGTAGAATAGATAGAGATAAACAAAAAAGCTCATATTGTTTTACGATATTCAATAATATACAATAATTACCGAATGTCATTAATTATAAAAATTGGACGAATGAACGCATGCACCGAGATGGTAAAAAAGAAGCGTTTAATCCAGCGACTCATTTTAGTACCCAGTCAGAACCATAAAGTTGATTCGACATTGATTTAACGTTGAAATTATCGATAAACCATTGAATTAACATTAATTCAACCCTCATCGATGTCGAATCAACGTTGTGGTTCTGACTGGAAAGGAAAATGCGCTGCTGCTTATATGCTTACACTTACATCGTCGCTCGTATGTCTCGTTGCATCGTTTCATGTTGATGGATTTTATATATTTATGAATACAACTACGAGTCAGTCACAAGTCAGAACCACAACGTTAATTCGATTTAAATTCGACGTCGAAACGATTGAAGACACGTTAAGTTGAATGGAGGTCGATTTTGATACAATATCGATTTATATGATTTTTAATTTTTCATACACTGAGAAAAAATTATATTAAAATTAAACAAATCTTTGTTCGAATACGACTGTGAATAAATTTATTCAAATTAAGCGATTAATTTCTAAAATAAAATACAGAGGTTCTGAATGTAAACTTTTTTCTTGAATTTTAGAAAATAATTGCTTAATTTAAATAAATGTATTCACAATCGTATTCGAACAAAGATTTGTTTAATTTTAATACAATTTTTTCTCAGTGTAGGATATATCATTTATTTCAACTGCCGGTCACTGTAATGTGTCTTATTTATTACCACCAATCAATGATCAATGCATTATAATTAATAATAATGCAATTGGGTACTTAAAATGCATTATGATCAATACGACATCTACGTATTTCATTAATAACAAACTTTTTTAGAATAAATGAGGAGCTTTTGTTCTGATTTGAATTTCTTTGGATTTGTATTAACTATTTTGCTATTTGGAGATTACCCATTATATTTCGTTAAAAATCTAAAATCAACCATGGAATCTCACATACTACACGCACACACACACTGGTTCATTAATATATATTGTATCAATCGTCGCATATCTAATGTTGTTACGTTATTCAATGTTTATTCTTTTAATGTTATTATGTTATAATGTTCTGTGAACACTATAAAAAGATACATTATACAGGATTATAGAAAAGTGTCGGCTGCCCCTATTATCTCCAGAAGTACGCACTTTTACGGAAAATGACTCGAACAAAAGTTGTAGGGATCATGAAGTACTATCTTTCGGTGACCTTAAAATTGACATTGAACTTGACTTTGAAGGTTATTTAAAGGTCAACTCGAAATTTCCAAATAGAAACCTCAATTTTTTACTACACCGTCTTTTTTTACCAATTAATTTGAACAATTTTTGTCTGAAACATTTATTTATTTGTCTAATATTTTTTGAAATATTTAAGGAAAACTTGATTACTTTCTCAATATTTAACTTACAATATCTCGCTAACTATTTATTGGAAGAAAAAGTGGTACTAGACTCTTTTACTCTATTTAGTCTCAAAAATATATTGTTACAATAATGTCCTGATTTTTGTTAATTTGATAATTTTGAAATTTCCAAAAGTCAGTAAGTTAACAAAAGTCAGGACGCTATTATAACAATATATTCTTAAGACTAAATAGAGCAAAAAAGGCTAGTACCACTTTTTCTTCCAATAAATAGTTAGTTAAATAGTAAGTTAAATATTGAAAAAGTTATCAAATTTTCCTTAAATATCTTCAATATCAAATCAAATCAAATCAATATCAAATTTTCCTTAATATCAAAAAAATATTAGGTAAATAAAAAAATTTTCAGACAAAAGTTGTTCAAATTAATTGGTAGAAAAAGACAGTGTAGTAAAAAATTGGGATTTTCATTTGAAAATTTCGAGTTGACCTTTAAATAACTTTCAAAGTCAAGTTCAAGGTCAATATCAAGGTCACCAAAATATAGTACTTCATGATCCCTACAACTTTTATTTGAGTTATTTTCCGTAAAAGTACGTACTTCTGGAGATAATAGAGATCCGATATTTTTTAGTAACCCTGTATAAGGATAAGTCGTAAAAAGCCATTGTCAGAACTATTGGGATCTTCGCGTGCCATTCGACCATCACGTTAAGTAACGCGTAGCACGTTTAAAATGATGGGGTGGGTATAGTTCCCCGTGCTGCTTGGGATGAAAGTCATCGAAGAAGGATACGCGAATGTTCGAAGTATATGAGCGAAGAATATGAGTGTGTGCGTGCGTACATGCGTGCATGCGCGCATGCGTGCGTGCATATGGCAATCTTCGGTCTCAGCGATTACGAGAGACGTGAAAAAATTAAGAATACTTTTTTTTATAAATATATGTATATGCACATTGACATTCCTCGAGTAATTAGTTCGACATTGAAATTGCAGTTGAAGATATGTCTACTTATACACGTTTCGACGTCGAATCAATCCGAATTTCAATATTCGGTTTTCGAAACGATGTTATTTCAACGAATTATTTTTGACTGGGTCTACAACTCACGACTAAACTGAATGTAAAATTAAAAATTAAACTCTTTAATATGGGAACGAACCGCTAACAAGTAGTAAAAGCTGCCATTCTTAAAATAAATAATCTTTACAAAGAAATATTAATTTATTGGTTCTCTTAAAAGTAAGAATCTCCTATGCTTTTCAAATCACGATTAACACTCTATCTTTATCGTTTATATTTTCAAACTTTATTTTCCAGTATATGGAATGATCTATCCAAATTGATATATAAATATCAGGTTAGCAACAAAGTCATGTCGTTTTTCACGGATAGATAACTTTACTTGTCATTAAATGTGACAGCTGACATTTCAAGTTTTTTTAACAAAAGAAAAGTATATTATTCGGTAAAGAATTGTTTGTTTGGCATTGAGTTAAAAATGAAAAACCAAAACGAACATTTCCGCTATATTTCATTTTTTTACTTTCAAAAAGGAAAGGACGCTGTGCAAGCCCGTCCAAAGTTATGTGCTGTGTATGATGAGGAATTTTTTTAACAGAACACCAATGTCAGCGTTAGTTTGTTCGTTTTCGTTCAGATTTTTCTGTGGAAGATGTACCACGGTCAGGCCGGCCAATTGAGGACAATAAAATAAAAGCATCGTTTGAATCCAAGCATCATTATATGACACATGAGATTGCTAAGACGCTAAACGTATCACATACGAGCATCGAAAACCATTTAAAACAATTTGGGTACGTCAACAAACCCGATATACAGGATAAGGACAAAAGATGGAAAACCTTAAAAATCTCGAAAAATATAAGTTTTACAGGAAAGTGTTTCAGACAAAAGTTATAAGACTCGAAACGATGTATTTACTGATTTTATCAGTTTGACCATGAATGGTGTTACCAAGGTCAGGTCAATTTATTTTTTTAATGGAAACTTCCATTTTTTATTATATCATCTTTTTTTACCAATTAATTTGAACAACTTTTGTCTGAAACAGTTTTTTATTTACCTAATATGTTTTGAGATATTTAAGGAAAACTTGATGACTTTTTCAGTACTTAACTTACGATATCTCGCTAACTATTTATCAGAAAAAAAATGGTACTATACCTTTTTACTCTATTTGGTCTCAAGAACATATTATTACAATAGTTCCCTAACTTTTGTTAACTTATTGACTTTTGGAAATTTCAAAATCATCAAATTGTATGGGTGCTACACAAACTCAAGGAAATTCATTTCATTAAACGCATCAATATCAGAGATTCTTTGCTGAAATGTGAGCAAAAAACAATCCGTTTTTGAAACGAATGTTAACTGGCTATGAAAAATAGATTGTTTATGACAATGTGGAACGAAAAAGATCGTGGAGTAAACGTGATGAACTGCCACAAAGCACTTCTAAAACAGACATCCATCAAAGGAAGATTTTACGAGGGCGGTCCGATAAGTACTTAGCCTCACCGCCCGATGGCGCCACTATCGCAAGAGAAATTTACTATCGTGTAGTACATTCTCGTAGACGGCTACTGTCGAAATTTCAGCCGAATCGGACTCGTAGTTTTGTTTTGACCGCGTGTGGAAGCGGGCGTGTCCGCGGATTTTAGAAAAATGGAAAAAAAGCAATATCGGTCGGTGATTCGATTCTTGTTTTTGGAATGGAAATCGCGCAGCGAAATCAAAGAGCGCTTGGATGCTGTGTACGGTGACTCTTCTCCTTCGATGGCGACCGTCAAAAATTGGTTTAACGAGTTTCAACGTGGTCGCACGTCGGTTTTTGATGAGCCACGCCCAGGTGCCCCGAAAACGGCTACCACGGAGGATAACATGACAAAAATCCACGATCTCGTATTGGCAGACCGCCGATTGAAGGTGCGCGAGATAGCTGAGACAGTAGGCATCTCAAAAGACGTGGGTCATATCCTGCATGAAATTTTGGGCATGAGAAAGCTGTCGGCGCGATGGGTGCCGCGTTTGCTCACTCCGGACAACAAGCGCAACCGTGAGACCACTTCAGAGCAGTGTTTGACGCTGTTTAAGCGCAATCCGAAGGAGTTTCTGCGTCGTTTCGTGACCGTCGACGAAACATGGATCCACTGGTACACACCAGAGACCAAGAAACAGTCGAAACAGTGGACTTCACCCGGCGAACGTGCTCCGAAGAAGGCGAAGACTGTCCTATCGGCCGGAAAGGTGATGGCCACCGTTTTCTGGGATTCACAAGGTGTGATCTACATCGACTACCTGGAGAAGGGCAAAACGGTCACAGGGCTGTACTATGCCGAATTATTGAGCCGATTCGACGCCGAATTGCAGAAAAAACGGCCCCATTTGGCGAAGAAAAAAGTGCTCTTCCACCATGACAACGCACCGGCTCACACCTCCGCCCTCGCCACGGTCAAATTGGTCGAATTGGGCTACGAACTGCTACCCCATCCACCGTATTCTCCAGATTTGGCCCCGTGCGACTTCTTTTTGTTTCCAAACTTGAAAAAGTCACAGGGCAAAAGGGCAGAAATTTGAGTCGAGTGAGGAGGTCATCGCCGCCACGGAGGCCTACTTTGCAGACCTCGAGAAAACGTATTTTTCAGACGGGTTAAAAAAGTTGGAGCATCGCTGGGTCAAGTGTATCGAGCTAAAAGGAGACTATGTTGAGAAATAAATCGCCACTTTTCCAAAATTTTCGTTTTTCTTTTGTAGGCTAAGTACTTATCGGACCACCCTCGTACTATCTGTTTGGTGGGATTACAAGGGTATTGTATTTTGTGAACTACTTAAATGTAATCAAATGATTGATTAGGAATTGTACTGTCGTCGATTGGACAAATTACACGAAGCAATCAAACAGAAACGCCCAGAATTGTTGTATCGTAAAAGTATTGTCTTTCATCATGACAACGCTAGACCACATACATCGTTGGCACCCGCCAAAAATTATTGCAGCTTGGGTGAGATATGTTATTACACCTACCATATTCGCCTGACCTTACACTATCAGATTACCACTTATTTCGTTCCTTGCAAAATTCTTTAAAGAGAAAAAAAATTCCTACCTTCTATATGCGACCTGTAATAGGCAAACTACTTATTGCTTTATAAGTCAAAAACTAAGCTTTGGGTAACATTTTGCAAGAGAAGAATCGTCTTAGAATGAATGAAATGAAAGAACATGTTCGTTCAAGAACATGTCATTTTAAGGATAAAAGGTTGTTCCGGATCATCCTGTATATTACAACTACAAATTAAAATCTATGTAAATTTTGCCGAATAGACACACGTCTATTTAGGACCAGAAAAAGACAACAGATGATACAACTTTCTTTTTCACTCTTTTTCGTAATTTTCTTTTCAACGAGAAATAAACTCGTTAGATATAATATTAATGTTGATCATCAGTTGTCACAGCCATAAATTGCCTTCAAAACGAGCGCAACTTATTAAACGCACGCAATTTAAACAAAAGTAAGAATTTATTTTCATTTATTATAAATATTTACCGAGTATATTTATTTCACAAAGCACAATTTTTATAAATTATAGCGTTTCTCTTTTTTCTCTTTTCTTTTTATTTTTCCTTCTCTTTGCTACAGTTATTTCCACGTGTCGCATTTAATTGCGTACTGCCTCGATGCCATGGTGACTGTATCAACCCCTATATAAAGATGCGTCCTCCCCCGCGAAACTTTAGACGTAGCTGAGCGAGCGATCTGACGCGTGTGTGAAAAATCGCTCTTTATATCTCTTTTTTTTATAAAATATATCACTTGTAGTTCTTCTCTTCGCGACCCAAGACTAATTCTGTTATTATTATGTTCGTGAAAATAAGATTATTGATAATGTTGACCATTGTTATTTCACAAGTGTCGTGGCTCATAAGTGTACCGCGTGGTAAGATATTTGTTCATTCGTTCATTTGTTCATTATTTTGCTGCGATACTAAAAGTATGTATTCCGTTGACACACAAAATATCCAAAAACTAACTAAATTTATTTCGATTATTGCTCAAATATCACCTTTTATTTTATACTTTTATTAATAATCTATTTGTTTAACATATGAAATGTTTTTATTATTGTAATAAGATATTATAACAAGATAGAATTCAAGAGCGCAACATGTATTAATATATGTAATCCTATCTTTTTTATATAAATTGACGGTTTTCGGTTTCCTTTCGCTAAGAATTAACAATATGTTACCTAATACGAGACAATAACAGGAATATTAAATATGTATAAATATTTATGCACGCATGTACGCATACATATCGATCGTTTATTCCATCCTGTAATAAAACAACTTCATTGACTAGTTTTTTTTTAAATATCAATTCTGATAGTGACTAAGCTTATCAAGGTACGCATGATTTACATTTCAATATCTCGCGTGTTTTTTCCCTTTTCTGGTGTGCTGTATAATCGCACATATATAAAACGAACGTATTTTCAGTATTTTTTGTTCATATAACAACATACACATATGTAACACTACTACAATAGTATTGGCACCGCTTATTTGAATATCTCGTACCAATTAACGAGCTAATGTTATTCTAATTTCCGAGAAATCAAAGCTCTTCTAATTAACGAATTGTTCCTACAATAATGAAACACTAAAATTCAATATTTCGTTTTATTAGCTTAATATATTTTTTAGTATTTGTAAAATAACTTCAATATATTATATTACAATCATTCGTTTTGTTAGCGATTTCCCAAAAGATTTCATAACTTTCGTGGATGCAAATAAACATCAAATAAGCATGATAAAAGTTTTTCATTATCAGTGTTGCTCTTCACAAAATTCTATTCATTTAGAATCAATCTTCATTTAGAATCCATTCAGAATCAATTTTATTTAATAATAACTGAGCTTTTGAATATTTCTTGTGTGGATCCATACACGTATAATCGCGCATGATATATAGAACATCTTTGATATTTGCTGCTATAGTGAGTTACGAAAATTCCACGCGAGTGTACAATGTGGGTGTACTTATGGCATCCCATCTCGATAGTCCGTTTGATCTTGAGCGATGTGGCCCGGCAGTTGATCTGGCATTAACAGAAGTAAATGATTTCCTGAGTGTCCATCACGTACAACTCCGGAAAGTTGAAGGAAGGTATATATGACTTATTGTTATAAAATATTATCGGAGTTGAAAAAAAATTAGAGAGAAGGAAGTGTGTGTGTGTGTGTGTGTGTGTGTGTGTGTGTGTGTGTGTGTGTGTGTGTGTGTGTGTGTGTGTGTGTGTGTGTGCGTGTGTGCGTGTGTGCGTGTGTGCGTGTGTGCGTGTGTGCGTGTGTGCGTGTGTGCGTGTGTGCGTGTGTGCGTGTGTGCGTGTGTGCGTGTGTGCGTGTGTGCGTGTGTGCGTGTGTGCGTGTGTGCGTGTGTGCGTGTGTGCGTGTGTGCGTGCGTGCGTGCGTGCGTGTGTGTGTGTGTGTGTGTGTGTGTGTGTGTGTGTGTGTGTGTGTGTGTGTGTGTGTGTGTGTGTGTGTGTGTGTGTGTGTGTGTGTGTGCATGAGTATAAGCCTATTCCATAATCGCTTTCGGAAACTTTGATTTTAATTATAAAGTGAGTAGGTCTTAGACTAATTTAAATACATTTCGTAATTGATCAGCTGATTCATGCAACTGATTTTATGATCAGGAGATTCAATAATCAAGATAATAAATAATAAAAATTCTATCTATTTCTCTATCTTATTTCTATCTTATATAATATCACATCTTATTACATCTTATATAATCTTATATAATCTTATATAATCTTATATAATCCATCTTATATAATATTACAAAATTAGTAGTTAAAATCAAGTTTGTAAGCAGAAATAACACATGGCTGTAAACACGAAGCGTGATCAGCTGGTGAATTGTAGAACGTTCTATGGAACTATCCAAATTAGTTTAAAGACTACCATATACCCAGTCAGAACTGGAATCAATATTGATTCGACGTTAATTTGACATTGAAATAATCAATAAATCGTTGAATTAACGTTAATTCAACGTTCATCGATGTCGAATCAACGTTGTGGTTCTAACTAAGATAACTAACCTTATATAATAATTAAAATCAAAATTTCCGAAGCTGATTTCGGAACATGCCTTATATATTATTGAAGAATAGGGTTGATTGAAAACATGCGTTCGTATCGAATTAAAGGCATAGAATTCCCTCAACATAATCTTCTTAATTAAGCAACTGTAAAATAGGGTCAATGTTTATAATCCTTTATAGAAAATTATTATTAGCTGTAATAAATTAGCCAATGATAAATTATTGTTGCTCAGTAAATTTATTCATGCGAGTACTGAAATTACTAAGCAATAATAATTTATCACTAACTACGTAATTTATTACAGCCAGTAATATTTTTCTATAAAGGATGTGTACATTTGTCATTTCTTTACGATCAAGATATATGTATCTGTCCTTAATTCACTGAGAAAATTAATTGTGTCAGAAAAAAAGAATGCAATTTGAGAAAAGTCCATCTACAAGTGAAATAGCGTTAAGCGTTATTGAATAACAATCAACAGGATCATATCAATCAAAAGGAAACAATCTTAGCTTATTATTTATTAAAAAATTCTTAATAAGAGGATTTTTATAAATAGAATGTAATTTTCTCACACAGTATACGTATTTAAATAAGATATATCCGATTTGTACATCTTTGTATATGATGTTAGATTACCATATACAAAAATGTATAGGTTAAGTATGACGTAACTTTGTGTATGGTAACCCAATCTAACACCATGTATAAAATATATAAGTTAGATTAAGTTAATTTACTTTTATAGCGTGAGGGAAGAGACGTATATATTACATGGAAATATTATGTTCCTTATGAAACTTCTTTTGTTAAAAATAAATCTTCTTAATCTTCTTAATAAATAATGAATGACGGTTGAGATCTTTTAATTTTTGTCAGGGTAATGATTTTTATAACATATGTAAAAAATAAAATCATTGAAGGTGCCTCCCCTAAACGAAAATTTTACCGGAATAAATATACATCATATATATCACTTATGCGTATAGTGATGTAGGATTTGATGTAATATTTATTCGGACGGTTACATTCACACTGGTCGTTTGAATAGTCACTTTGCATTTTATAGACATTCATTTGTTTCGGTGCTCATATGCACCCCTTTTGCGTCATTTCATTGATACGATTGAATGAGCATTCTCATAAGCGTTCTCACCGTGCAGTTGTAAATTACACAATGCACTCCGCACCATAAACAAGAAAACGAAGAGAGAAAAATAATGTTAACATTAAAATACGTTCAAATTAACATTATTATATTTAAGCATTACTATATATAGCGCTCTAACATCTACAGTAATTATAATAGGATAGGTATTAATTTTATTTTTTTCTAAATCTATACATGTATGTTGCTTTTTTCTTGTTTGTTATTATAACGGGCTGAAAAAAAGTAATTATTAACTATGTTAATTTCTTGTTTACGTATAATATTTCCTATTTGTTTTTTTTATATTGTATAATATTTTATATTGCATAATATTTTATATTGTATAATATTTTATATTGTATTTTTTATATTGTATAATATTAGTTATTCATGATATTGTGTGTGTGTGTGTGTGTGTTATTTTATTAAAGAAAGAACTGCATTTTTATTAAAACGTTTATGTGACGAATATCGATAAGAATGAGAATAAGGTTTCATAAAATGAATAAGAATTATCATATTTATGTTCTTCCAATAGTTACAATGGTTCTCATAAACCAGAGTTAAATGTCATTGTATCTTTTTTCTAGAAATATATAAATAATGTATATATTATTAATATTTATTCTTCTTATTTGTTGATACGCGAGCTAAAGGGTTATATATTCTATATTAATAAATTAAGTACTATTTGTTCATAACATTGTATTATTTTATTTAAAAAATATCTGTATTTTTTATTAAAACGTTATATATATATATATATATACAAGGTGTATAAAAAATACTGGGACAACGAAATATCTCGAAAACTAAACATTTAAAAAAAATTGTTTCAGACAAAAGTTGTATAGTTTCAAGGGGAACATAAAACAACTATATAATTTTGTTTGCAGACGGCGTTACTTTCGAAAGATTATTGATTATTATTTTTCTTAAATGGAAACTCCAATTTTTTATTACATCATCTTTTTCTACCAATTAATTTGAACAACTTTTGTCTAAAACATTTTTTTCATTTGCTTAATATTTTTGGAGATATTTAAGGGAAATTTGGTAACTTTTTATATATTTATAATAATATTTAACTTACAATATTTCATCAACTATTTGTCGGAAAAAAATAGTACTAGACCTTTTTCTATTTGGTCTCGAAAATATATTGTTACAATAACGTCTTGAATTTTGTTAATTTGATGATTTTGAAATTTTCAAAGGTCGATAAATCGTCGCGTTTATATCCGTATAATAACATTCATAATGTAAAAGTTTTACATGTGATATATTCTATACAAACAAAGGATCTAAAATGTTGTCACCTTACAGTGTCATTTAAATCATTCATGATAAAAATTACAAGATTGTGGAACTTGATAAATATTTCCAATCAATCAATCAATCAATCGAAAATTTAGCTATGCACATTTTTTGATATTTGTTTATTATAATTTACATAAAATCGTACATAAAATCGTAAATTCGGTTTCATCTCGAATTGTGGCTAGGACTATATCTTTTTTTCCTTTTTTATTACCAGTAAACATTTATAGCAGTTACGATGTCACATCTCCAGCTACATGAATATCCTTATGCAGAATTTGCAACGTTTTATTTGCGTGGATCGATATAAGGTAATTCAATCATTGGCCATTCATCGGCACAATTAATGTATCATTATCTCGAGCTGCCACATGCAAGAACATCCCCAACGATTCACGGAATATGTGATTATTGTGGCTATTCGCCGCTCGATTGTACGTACGTATGGAAGCGGAATACACGCATTTCAATAACACGCTTTCGCACCGTTTCAATCTCCAAGGACACGTGGTTATAATATGTATGTGCATCATGTGCAACTACATACGAGAAGTGAAAGAGGAACAAAAAAAATGCTGTATGAGAGAGGGGCGAAAAAGAGGGGAATATCAAGATTTTTCAGATAATTGAGATAATCTGCACAGATAACATGATAGATCATTTCCTTTTATTTTTGTATGCCAATAACGATATATATATATATTTTTTCTCATATTACAAGTTGGAAACTAACACAGGCACACTAAAAAAAAAGTTGCTTGTTCGCTAGACTACACCACCATACCTAAAGGGTGTCCCAAAATTCATGCAAGAAGTAATTTTGATAGAAAACACATGTTTATAATTAAAAATTGTAAATTTTTTATTTATTCATAAAGTATACAGTATAGGGTTATGTATGGAATAGCATATCGGGTAAATGGCCTCCACGGCTTTGCTGGCACATATGCACTCTTTTGTTGAAATTTTCCATGACCGTTTTGCATAAATATGGCTGAATTTCGTTGATACAGCGCTCAATTTCCTCCTTCAAGTCGTGGGCTCGTTGGCATAAACCTTAGACTTCAAAAAATCCCAAAGAAAAAAGTCCAACGGCATTAAATCGCATGATCTGGGCGGCCAAATCTGATCAGCAAAACGGGAAATTACACGACCAGGAAATGACTCATGCAATAATTGAATTGTTTCTCGAACTGTATGGCATGTGGCACCGTCTTGTTGAAACCACATGTCGTCCACATCCATATCTTGCAATTTAGGCACAAAAAACTGGATTATCATGTTGCGATAGCGAGCATCATTAACTGTTATTGCCTGACCAGCTGCATTTTCGAAGAAGAATGGTCCGATGATGCCTCCAGCCCAAAATCCGCATCAAACAGTGACATGTTGTGGATGCATTTGTTTCTCAATAATCACTCGTGGATTTTCTGAACCCCAAATGCGACAATTTTGTCGATTAACCAAGCCATCAAGATGAAAATGAGCCTCATCGCTGAAAATGATTTTGTTCGAAAAATCAACATCCACTTGTTGTTGTTTCATAATCCATTCAACGAACTCTCTTCGCTGTGCGTGGTCAGTAGGCTTCAGTTCTTGAGTCAATTGAACTTTGTAAGCATGAAGATGCAAATCTTTCGTGAGAATACGCTGTAGAGAGCTTCTTGAAATGTCCAATTCTTGACCACGGTGCCGAATTGATGTTCCTGGACTCTCAACAACACTCTCACGAACTGCTTCGATGTTTTGTGTTGAACGACTTGTTGAAGGACGGCTAGAGTGTTTAAGATCACTAATTGATCCAGTCTCCCTAAATTTTTTAATTAATCTCTTCACAGTTGATGAAGTTAAATCACTATTCCGACCATATTTTGTACGAAAATTGCGAACTGTAGCTGCCAAACTTTCATAATTTTTAAAATATTACTCAACAATGAAAACGCGTTGTTCTTTCGTGTAGCACTCCATTTTAAAAACCCTGAACTGTCAACTGTCACGCTGTCTTTTTCTTTCGTTGGCAACACTTTACCGCACAAATGGCGTAAAATTCAAATCTTGCGTGAATTTTGAGACACCCTTTATATGTTTTCGGGGTCGCTGAATCCGAATCCATTGTCCGTTTTACCTAGAGAGCCTCATAGGAAGAGAGTGGCAAACTGATCACGTGACCACGTTTCTGTTGATTCGATGGAGGCACAAAGCCTTCTTGACCTATTAGAATATTGATATAGCAAGACGGCAGATTGGTTTTACAGTGAGTTTTTAAAGCAGTCTGACGTACATCTGTCAATCATTAGAGGAGATTACGACGAGTCGCACAAGATATTCGCTTACGAATTAATAACAGCAATAAGAATCAGATATCCGTAAGTAATAAATATTAATTGTGAAAGAATATTTGTCGTTTCGATTTACATAGAATAAGAATCGTAATATATATTATTTACATAATTTTGTGTCTTATGCATAGTATAAAATGCCTAGACTGCTTTTAAAACTCACTGTAAAACCAACCTGTCGTCTTGCTATACCGATATTCTGATTGGTCAAGAAGACTTTGTGCCTCCATCGAATCAGCAGAGACCTGATCACGTGATCAGTTTGCCACTCTCTTCCTATGAGGCTTTCTAGTTTTACCCCATCACGTTAGGTTTCGTCCCTAACTTCAGAAAATACTTCAGAATCGCTAAAGTAGCGTTTTTGAAGCTGAATAGTAAACAATGGCGATTGAAATCTGTAGGTAATAGACTACTTATGTTTTTGGGGATATTAAATTTGAATTTTGAAGTCGAATCAATCTTAACAGGTTAGAATTCCTTTTCAACTCTAAATATATCACAATTCTCTATTCATTTTTTCTTATTGTATCTAACTCTTTCACTCTCAAAAGATCTATGGAGTGGCTTTCTTTTACATTCGAATCAACGTTTCAGACAAAAGTAGTATAGTTTTAAAGAAGACATAAAACAAGTATATCATTTTGTTTACAGATGGCGCCACTTTCGAGATATTCACTGATCATTACTTTTTTTAAATGGAAATCCCAATTTTTTTACTATATTATCTTTTTCAATTAATTTTAATAACTTTTATCTGAAACATTTTTTCATTTACCTAATATTTTTTGAGATATTTAAAGAAAACTTTTCAGTATTTAACTTATTCCGTTAACTATTTGTTGGAAGAAAAAGTGGAAGAAAAAGATTTTTTTACTCTATTTAGTCTCAAGAATATATTGTTATAATAGCACCCTGACTTTTGTTAATTTGATGATTTTGAAATTTTCAAAGGTCGATAAGACCTTTATGTTTCTTAACTACAATATTTCTTTTTATTTAAAATTCAAGACACTCAACTTAAGACAACTCAACTCACTCTATTTTAATAGGAACATTATATGTCTTCTGTTCCACGATTTCTCTCACAATAAATATACAAACGAAATGCATAATCACAAGAGTATGCTAAATTGACTCAATCTTCCCTAAGTCTCCCTTAAATGTCGTTACGATAATAATTACAAAACAATCAAATTATCTTAACTTCTCTATTAAAATTCAAATAATGTATCGCCATGTATTTTCAGCTACCCATCTTGCAGTGGAGCTCGAGCCCCTGGTTTAGCAGCGGATATGCATTTCCGAGATAATGTGATCGCTTTTATTGGACCGGCCTGTGCATTCGCTTTAGAACCGGTGGCACGTCTTGCGGCATATTGGAATACACCAATTATTACAGGCATGGGTGATCAAGTACGTTTTTGTTGCCACAGAAAAATGAACTTCTGACTTCAAGTAGAAGAGTACTTTATTATCATAAATGCATAGAAAACGAAACGCGCGGGTACCTCCATATAAACCTCTTCACTTAGTTCTCTATATAAAAAGAACGTTTTAATTTCAAACTTAGTTTGAATGACTGGATTAGTTCGAAGTTGAATTGTATTACTACCGCTAAGAATAATCTAAATAAGTAATATTTCACAATTAGAACAGAGATCTCATTGTAGTCAATTCCAAATTATTACTGAAAGCTTCTAACACACAGACATTTTGAAACGACACGTGTTGCTAATTGTATCTTTTAGGACCTTGAAAACTCAGAGAAAATTTACAAGTTTATATCTGTCGCTTCTAAATACCATTATCTATATTTCATTTTTGTTATAAGACTTTAGTTCCTCTTTAATGGCTTTAGTGTACTGCTTGAGACCGAATATGTTTATTGAAAATAACTGAAAGAAACATGTGGAAATGTCCTCCTCCGATCTTGATAAGCTTGAAAGATACGAATTTTTTTATATGTAGTGAGAAGATTCTAATGTGTTATGTAGTGGGAAGATTGTAATGGATATTTATTTTAATTGGATATACATTGAATCACGGAATTTTTATAAGATCGCGGTTCGGCTTGCTCACTTGTTCATGCGCAACTGCTCTTTTTTTAAACAAATATCCGCGAAAAACAAAACCCTATTACCTAATTGCCCCTCCTCCTACTTAGCCCTACAATATATATCTAATCGGCATTTTAAGGAGTGAAGTATCTTTTAAAAGAAAAATTATTATCTTCCTTTCAGAGCATGCACCATCTAAAATGTAAGAAAGAAAATGTAAGAAAAAAAATTTTCTAAATAGAAATTTAATGGTTTTAAGAGTACGTTATAACGGTATTTTCAATGTTTTAAGAAATATTAAAATTTTATACATACAGTCTGTCAAGTAAGAGCGTGTTCAGTATAACTAGCAGTTGGTAAAAGGTATCGCCTTAATTTTTTTGTGGATAGGGAGAACCTTTGCCCTTAATGTATTGTCAAGAAAAATTCAGTTGAATTCATTGAATTTTTGTCAAGGAAACATGCCATGCAAAGTAAAGTATCATGAATACCGCGTACGCGTCGCGCTACGAGGCTGTATTCCCATCCGAAAGGTCCGAAAATGTCTCATGCAGCGGCTGCTAAGTACATGAGGAAATCGAAATCATTCGTCAATAATACATACAAAGAACAGACTTTTTTCCAGTATTGGGTAAGAAAATATTGTTGAACCATTTGACAGCAAGTTCGGATGTTAACTTACCAGATTTAGATGCAAAAGCGATGATGTTATCCGCTTTGTACAGCGATTTTTGCACTACTGGTCCGAACTGACCACTTACTTCTTGTAAAACGATCAGTAAAGGGAATTTCAAAACACCGTCAGCAGATACAATTGGCTGTATCGTGTAGGAATGGGTTAAGGAATGTAAAGATTGAACAAGACATTCTACTTTTGAAGCACCCCTTAATGCTAATGTACGACCAGCATGAAACTTATAATTGAATCCCGATTGATCTGAATTATAGACGTTAGCTACTCCTAATAGGCTTATTTTCGTTTTCACTTGATCCACAAAGATTGAAACCTTCTATAAAAGTCCTGCTTTATTCGAAATTTGCGATTGGGTAATGAACTTATTTATTTTTCTTGAAACAATCCAATGCTGAATTTTGAAATTATACACCCATTTCGTTGAAGCCGAAAATGATTGACGAGACAAATTAACATCTTCTCTCGCCATGATGGCTCATCTTTTCAAATCTAAATCGTGGATGGGAACACCTTTGTCAAAAGCAGAGTTAAATTGTTCCATAACATATTATGAAATAAATAATAATTTATCATTTCTCGATCCTTCTTCGGCAATATGTGCTTCCCACCTGTATAATTGTTGTTGATTTAAGACTTTCTTGAATCGGTCTTTTACTATTTTAAAGCTCAATCTTTTCTTTTTCCTCGATCGGCAATATTCAACTACCTTCATCTTGTAATTCAAGTCCAGCATTTCGTCGAACTTCGTATCATCTTGCACATCCCCTTGTGAATCATATTCTGACTATTCTTCAATTAAAACGGCATCAGGAATTACACTGAGATCATGGAAGCTTAAACTCTCAATCATAACTCTCAATAAACACTTGACTATTGATAGCATTTTTTATTAAGTCCACGAGATGTGACACTACCTAACCAAAAATAAGAGAACCTCATTTTTTTCATCGACAATGGCGCAGGTTTAAGAAATGAAACTACCCCTCAAAGTTTCATCTCTTTGCTGTCTCGATAACTATTGCAGATAAAAAAACTTTTTAAACAAAAATTGTACAATTTTTCATGAAAAATAAAATAGGCTTAGTTAAAATAAATAAATATTTTTAATAATTAACAAAATGACCATATCAGGCTTAATTAATTAATTTATCAAATTGATTATATAGAAGAAAAAGTTAGCATTTTTCATTCTAAATCCATCTATTAATTAAATTAAATATATTATTAAATATATCAATATATATAATATTTTATATTTAAATTATACAGATATTGCAATATAATTATAAGTAGAAGTGATATCATAAGCAAGGTGCTCGTTAACGTGTATGAACGCTTAATTACTACATTGCTACGCAAATAACGAACATCTATTTACAATTTAATTGTAAGATATACAATTTATATGTAATTTATTGTAAAATTATAATTTATGGTAAAATCTTACAATTATTTATTATTTATTTATAACCATTTATTAAAATTTTATAATTAATAAACAACCAGTATATTTATTAAAATATTTATTAAAATCATAATTATTTATTAAAATCAAGTGATTTATATAATTCAAACTTTTTTAATTTTTAAAAATTAATGAAATTAATTAGTTATTAACAATAATGAAAATTTTGTAAAAACATTATAAAAAATTATGAAAATATAAAGATTGGGAGTCTGTGCAATATTAAAGTGCATTCAGCAATTGTTCGAAATATAATACATTCGGAACAAAATAATAAAGTGCTTGAATTTCTTGTGTTCCTTTGACAACTTATTTTAGTAACGATGGATAACATCTAATGATAGACAATGAATAATAATGCGAATCAATTTATCAAACTCCGTGTTTTTATTGTCCGGCATTAACGCCTACGGTTGTCAAAAGATTGTTAAAAGATCCATATCATCTTGAAAGAGACTTCATTTCAAAAAGTTTATTCTATCGCATCTTGCATACTTATTTATGAATATTCTTACATTCATTTTTCGGTAATAAAAATAGAATTTTATGTAACAGTAGAAGATATTTTTATTTCGTTTGATGATTTTTACTTACACATGAGTGTTCGAACATATAAATTTAAACGCAATGTATTTACAAAGAACATAATATTGGGTTGTTCAAAAAGTCATTGCGTTTATTTCCGATAGACGGCTTTAGTTGTATATTTAATGTATTGAATGCCTCTATAAATTCATGAGTCTATGCACATTTGACAGCTGATACTTATAGCTTCCATCAAGGAAAAACTGCGCGAATCGATCAACAATTATTCTTTCTATAACGTTTTGGAAATGGAAAGTCAACACGAGCATTTTCGTCAAGTTTTACTTTATTACTTCTAAAAAGGAAAGAACGCTGTGCAGACTTATGAAAAAAGTGGTGTAGAGTTTATGGTGACGAAGCCCAAAAAACACCAGTATCAATATTGGTTTGCTCGTTTCCATTCTGACTGCAGCGTGAAAGATGCACCTCTCTCAGGTCGGCCATCGGAAGTTGATGATGATAAAATAAAGACGTTAATTGAAGCTAATCGACGTCCTACCATTCGTGAGCTCGCTGAGGCACTAAAAATATCGATTGAAAGCGTTTACCTTCATTTGGAAACAACTTGGTTCCGTCAGTAAGCTCAATGTTTGAGTCCTGCATAAACTAAAGAAAGTTCATTTTATAAAACTCATAGACATCTGCGATTAACTTCTGAAACGTGAACAATCGGACCCATTTTTGAAACGCATGATGACTAACGGTGAAAAATGAATTGTCTACAACAACAATGTGAAGCGAAAACGATCGTGGAGTAAACGCGATGAGCCGACCCAAAGCGTATCATCAAAAGCAGACATCCACCAGAGAAAGGTGATGCTCTCAATTTGGTAGGATTGGAAGGGTGTTTTCGAGTTTCTACCAAGAAATGTTACGATCAATTCGAACGTATACTGTCAACATCTCGACAAGTTGAACGAAGCAATAACAGAAAAGCGGCTAGAATTGATAAATCGCAAAGGAGTGGTCTTTCATCATGATAACATTCGACCACACGAAAGTTTGATGACTCGCAAAAAATTGTTGGAACTTGGTTGGGATGTGTTGCCTCATTCATCTTATTCACCAGACCTTGCACCATCAGACTACCATTTGTTTCGATCCTTGGAAAACTCCTTACAAGGTTAGGTGGAAAAACGTTCGCTTCAGATAACGTTATCGAAAGGCACTTGGTTCAGTTCTTCGCTAATATAAATAGGAGGTTTCTTGAGAATGGGATCACGAAGCTTACCGAAAGATGGCAGAAGGTTATCAAACAAAAAGGGCGATATATCATTGATTGGTGTACATTTTTTGAATAAAATAAATGGCCTTGAAAATCATCGGAAAAAGCGCAATGACTTTTTAGACAACCCAATAGATGTGATAATGCACGTCATATATCATGAAATATACCTTATAAATATGAAAATGTATAAAATGTAATAAAATCCATATGCGTGATGTAAAGAAGTCATTTATTCAAACAAAAAAAGGAAATACGTTTACTATCAAGTGATTTATTATATATTTTATATTTTCTTGAAAAATGTATAATACATGCATACACACACATAGTTTCATTAAGGAAATTTTAATTTATTTGTATAAACAATTAACCTAGCATACTATTTAATCGGAGGATAATTGATTTAATTTTATTTAAACGAGGCAATGAACACGACAAACTAAAGTGTCACCAAAGTGGAGATATAATTATACGTTACTTTTTTCATTACTGCTTTCAATCGTACTGTTTGTATTGTTTAATGTTTTGTAAACAGTCAAAAAAGAATTACGATAAAAAATATATTGAAAGTCTCTGTATGGTCTTAAAGACCTGAATTTATTTTCAGTTCCGATAACAGGACATACATCTCTACCCAGAACTTTGTGAATCTCAGCTATGTCACATAACGCTGTGTCCTCCTTTAAAGAAGTTAAAAGTACAGGACATTCTTGAGATTGCATTGTTTTTAAACATTCGCCCAATAATTCAGAATCGAATACTTCAAAAACTACAATCAGGTCCGCCCTTCCATACGTCGGAGTAATCATATAATTGCTATACAACACACCACAACATTCATAGATAAATTTCTTCTTATTGCAAACGCAACGAGGACAAATATCCTGTATACCAAGTTCATATTGTAAGTCAGTTCCTAACAATACAACTATTAGCACTTGTATATTTGGGAAAAGATGTAACAATATTTCCCAAGCTGGTAAACCGTTTCTTTCTATGGAATCTGCTTCTATAATATGAATGACATAGGTAGATGCTGTCAGTAGAACATCAGATAATCCCGCATGTAACATACCATAATATACCGAGAGCGGTCCTGACACGTAGTCGCTATAGATGTAATCCAAGATATTCCATTCGCCCTTTTTGTTTTGTACATATTCTTCTATAAATTTTTCCATATTATTCAAAGATCTATCGTTATCGGGCAGCTTCATAAATTTTAATGATAATGAAACTGTATTTTCATACTGAACATTTGAGAGCTCAAGATTGAGCCATGTTGTGAAACGGTCGCAGGAAAATTGTTCATGTTGGTGTGCGAATTCTTTTTTGTGTTCAAGACAATAGTCGATGGACAAACATTTTTTGCAGGAATACAGTCCAGTCTGCTGAAAACAAATAAAGCATGATCTAGCGAAGAAGAACATTTCAGTTTCGTAATTCTCAAGCGCACGCCCTAGATCCTGTTCAATTGATAGACGAAATTTATTTTGTGTTTTGGACCATTCGATATGATCAAAGCGGCGAGTAAGATATTGCGGGTTGTTTTTTAAGAACTTTTCTATAGCTGTGCAAATCCCGCTGTGTTGAGGAAAGTGCAGGTTTTTGTGATCTTCAGAGCAGTAAGAGATAGAAAAACACCGATCACATGTTGTCAAATTTATCACTTCCGTAGTCTTCTTGCAAACGTGGCAAAGGTTTGGATGAAAGATCTTATTGTAATGTACAGACGTCCATGGTCCAGAGTATGGAAGTAATGTCTTCCTTATGTCCATGTTAGCATATGTATGTAACTGAGGATAGAATATCGTATTTGCAATATCAATTTAGAAATAATACACAATATTCGGCACCTTAGCAGAAATAATAGAATCCGCTGTGTACAGTACTGGTGACCGTATGATTACTCGTGGATTGTTTGAACTAATAAATTGCTTACGTTTGTTTCTAGGCATTTCGAGAATTCGAGTTTAGTTTGAGACATAGTCAATCTGAATTGAAGGCATAAGACTAGATAGTCACAAATATTTGTATTTATTACCGCAAGTAATATTGTGAAATTTCAAACGTACGACGAATGTCGCAGGACATTGTAATGTCGTCAATATTTTTCAAAATGGTAGTTGCAAAAGGCGTTTTATTTTCTCACTTTTGTCCGATTTAAATAATATAAAAGAAAATAATATCCTTATATGGAAAAAAAGATTTTCTAAAAATTGATGACAGATGTTATATAAATTTCTGCAAAGGAAAGTGAGATGAAAATTAAACCAAGTAAAGGAAAATAAAGAAAATTAAATCAAGTAAGAATAATTTTTGTAAAAATTTAAAAAATATAACATGTTAAAAAAATTTATATATAAACTTCGATAGCTCTCTGTAGAGAGCAATTCATCTTGCTTTGAAATGACATGTTCTTCATTCAACGAATTCTAAGATAAATTTTGTTTTTACCAAATGTTATCCGAAGCTTAGTTTTTGAGTTATAAGGATAAATAGTTTGCTTGTTACGGGTCGGATGAAGTAAGCAAGGAGAACATGACTCATCACTAGACGCAGGCGCTTACGTTGAGTACCTAAGGCGATGAATTCATCGACATAACATTGCATACATCATTTTTATAACTTCTGTTAGGTTGCGACCGACGCGCGGAGTGTTAATTTCTGCTTTTTTAATTTTGCCCGCCACGAAAAGAGAGAATAGTCCACTATTCACGACCAAGCCGAATGTAAAATTGAAAATATAATTTTTTTAAATTACGGAAACTCAGGCGCGCTAACAAGTGATAAAAGCTGTCATTCTTAAAATAAATAATTTTTACAAAGAAATTCGTCAGTTTTCTCCAAAATAAGGATATCTTGCTCTTTTCAAACCGTGAATAATACTTTTTCTCGATTTATCTCCCGTTTTACCTTTTTGCTAAGACTTATCGCTTAGTTTTTGATTAGTCCGATATTTTTAATCTTAACTAACATCTTAACTTAAATTTATGTTATAATGCTATATATATATATATATATATATATATATAATATATAGCACACCTATACTTAATGTTTTATATACATCCGTCTGAATAAAAAAAATTACTTTTTTAGGAGTTATATCTGTGGCAAAAAATATATATGGATTCTCAAAAATATTTTCTCATTAATTTTTTGCTACACATTATATGCAATAGGAAATAAAAGCATGTAAATTTAAGTCCCATTTCTTATTCTATTAATTATCCTACTATCTGGAAAATATAAAATTTACAAAATATATTTCTAGAATTAGATTTATTACCATATATCACAATTATGCATCTATATATCATTTTTTGTATAGCACTTAGCACTTAGTACTTAACGCAATATATAACATCATAACATCATTTTACAATTATTTATTATTTATTTATAACTATCTATTAAAATCTTATAATTAATAAATAATCAAGAAGATATTCATCAAAATCATAATTATTTAATAAAATTATGTGGTTTATATATTTCACACTTTTTCAAAAAATTTATAAAAAGTATTAAGATTAATTAGTTATTAACAATAATGAAAATTTTGTAAAAAATTTATAAAAATTTATGAAAATGTAAAGATTGAGAATCTGTGCAATGTTAAAGTGCATTCGGCAATTGTTCGAAATAATACAATACAATTCGAAATAGAATAATAAAGTGCTTGAATTTTTTGTGTTCCTTCGACAACTTATTTTAATAACGGCGGATAATGCTTAATGGTAAACAATGAATAATAATGCGAACAAATCATTTTATCAAACTCCATATTTTTATTGTCTTGCATTACCGCCTATGGTTGTCAAAAGATTGTCAAAAGATCCATATCATCTTGAAAGAGACTTTACTTCAAAGAGTTTATCCCATCGCACTTTGCATACTTATTTTGTAAATATTCTTTGCATTAATTTCCGATAATAGAAATAGAATTTTATGTAATGGTAGAAGATATTTTATTTCGTTTGATGACTTTTATCTATACATGAGTGTTCGAATATAAATTTAGACGCAATGTATTTACAAAGAACATAATAGATGTGATAATGCACGTCATATATCATGAAATATACCATATAAATATGAAGATATAAAATGTAATGAAATCCATATGTGTGATGTAAAGAAGTCATTCATTCAAATAAAAAAAGAAAATACGTTTACTATCAAATGATTTATTATATATTTCATATTTTTTTGAAAAATGCATCACATGCATGCACACACATAGTTTCATTAAGGAAATTTTAATTTATTTATGTAAAGAATTAACCTATTATTTATATATTATTTACTCGTAGAATAATTGATTTAATTAACAAGACAATGAACACGACAAACTAAAGTGTTAGCAAAGTGGAAATATAATTATACGCTATTTCCTTCACTACTGCTTTCAGTCGTACTGTTTGTATTGTTTAATGTTTTGTAAAGCATCAAAAAAGAATTACGATAAAAAATATATTTAGATTCTCTGTGTGGTCTTAGAGACGTGAATTTATTTTCAATATGGGTAACAGGACATACATCTCTACCCAGAACTTTCTGAATTTCAACTATGGTATGAAATATTCTGCGCTCTAAAGTGGTTAAAAGTACAGGACATTCCTGAGATTGCATTGTTTTTAAACATTCATTCGTCAATGATTCAGTTTCGAATATTTGAAAACCTACAATCAAGTTCGCCTTTCCATACATCGGATTGGTCATATAATTGCTATATAACATACCACAACATTCATAGATGAATTTCTTCTTATTGTAAACGCAACGCTGACAAATATCCTGCGTATCAAATTCAAATTGTAAGTCTGTTCCTAACAATACAACTATTAGCACTTGTATATTTGGGAAAAGATGTAACAATATTTCCCAAGCTGGTAAACCGTTTCTTTCTATGGAATCTGCTTCTATAATATGAATAACACAGGTAGATACTGTCAGTAGAACATCAGATAATTCCACGTATGACATACCATAATATACCGAGAGTGGTCCTGATATGAAATCGGAACAAATATAATCCAAAACGTTCCATTCGCCCTTTCTGTTTTGTACATGTTCTTGTATAAATTCTGTCATATTATTGAAAGATCCATTGTTATCAGGGAACATTATAAATTTTAACGATAATGAGACTTTACTTTCATACTGAATATTTAAGAGTTCAGAGTTGAGCCACATTGTTAAATGGTCGCAGATTTGTTCATGTTGCTGTTCGCATTCTTCCTTGTGTTCTAGACAATAGTCGACGGACAAACATTTTTTGCAGGAATACAGTCCGGTCTGCTGATGACAAATAAAGCATATTCTAGCGTAGGTTAACATTTGCTTTTCATACTTCTTAAATAGACGCCCTAAATTCTGTCTAATTGAGCAATAAAATTCATCCTGCGCTTCCAACCATTCCTCCAGACTAAAACGGTGAGTGAGATATTGCGGATTGTTCTTTAAGGATTTTTCTATAGCTATGCAAATCTCGTGGTGTTGAGGAAGGTGCAGGTTTTTATGATCTTTGGAGCAGTAAGAGATGGAGAAACACCTATCGCATGTTGTCAAATTTATCATTTCCGTAGTCTTCTTGCAAACGTGGCAAAGATTTGGGTGAAAGAACTTATTATAATATTCAGACGTCCATGGTCCAGAATATGGAAATAATATCTTTCTTATGTTCATGTTAGTATATCTATATAACTAATAATATATAATATTGAATCTCAATATCAATTTAGAAATAATACACAATATTCGATACCTTAGCAGAAATAATAAAATCCGCTGTTACATTGTACGCTGTATACACAGTATTGGTGTCGGTATGGTTACTCGTGGATTGCTTGAACGTCACTAATAAATTGTTTACATTTGTTGCTACGCATTTCGAGAATTGTTTACAGTTTGAAACGTAGTTAATCTGAACTGTAGGTATAAGACTAAGTCACAAATATTTATATTTATTAACTCAAGTAATATTGTGAATAAATTTCAAATATACGGCGAATACCGCAGGACATTGTATTGTCAATATCTTTCAAAATAGAAGTTGAAAAAAACTTCATATTTTCTCATTTTTTCGTCCGATTTAAACGATATAAAAGGAAATAATATCCATATATGGAAAAAAATTTTCTAAAAATTGCTGGTAGATGTTATATTATATAAATTTCTGCAAAGGAAAGTGAAAATTAAACCAAGTAAAGAAAAGTGAAGAAAATTAAACCAAGTAAGAATAATTTTTATTAAAATCTAAAATATATTATATGTTAAAAAAATTTATATATAAACTTCAATAGCTCTCTATACCAAGCAATTTACCTTGCTGTCTTTGAAATGACATGTTCTTCATTCAACGAATTCTAAGATAATTTTTTCTCTTACCAAATGTTATCCGAAGCTTGGTTTTTAAATTATAAAAATTCTGCTTATTACGGGTCAGATATATGAAATAAGTAGGAAGAACACAACTCACCATTAGACGCAAGCGCTTATGTTGAACGCCTGTTGAATGCGATGAATTCATCGACATAACATTGCACACAATATTTGCATAACTTTTGTTAGGCTATATGTTAATCACTATTTTCTTTAATTTTGCCTGGCACGAAGATGAAGGAAAGTCCACAACTTACAATTAAACGTAAACGAATATAAAATTGGAAATAAAATTCTTTAATATTACGGAAACTGCGCTAACAAGTGGTAAAAGCTGTCTCAAGATAAATAATTTTTATATAGGAATATAAATTCGTCGGTTTTCTTCAAAATAAAAGTATCTTATTCTTTTCAAACCGTGAATAATATTCTTTTCCGTTTTTACTTTCCATTTTTCTCGTTTATATCTTTAAAGTTTATTTTTCAACTTCGGAAGGCTCGCACAATCAAATATTTTATCGTCAAACATTAAAATACTTTGTTTTGACTTAATTATAATTTATTTACTTTCGTCAAATTTTATATAATTATTTTATAATAATTATTTTATAATAATTAATATAATAATTAATTTGAAACGCTTCATTTGCTTATTATGTTCGTATTAATCCTTGCTGCTTGGCGACCACATTAATTCATGTTCATGCCGAGTAACAAAGTAGTCAAATGTTGCATTTTACTGGATAATCATACGCGTTTGTAAAGGAAAGAAACGGCTTTCTCGGCTTCACACAGATCGCCTTCGCGGCACTCGATGCGATGATTAACGGGAGTTATGAAAATATTATATACAATGTTATTATGTGCATTGATAAGCTCATCGTATTAAGCCTCAACCTAAACGTCTATGTCTAATGGTGAGTTATGCTGTCTCTGTCTACTTCTTATACTCAATCCACAACAAGCAAACTGTTTATCTTTATAACAAAAACTAGGCTTCGGATAAGATTTAGCAATAGATTTTTGCATATTAAATAAGATTTGGCTTAAAGAATTCGTTCCGTCGCATTACGCGCATGCTTTTCAAAAGTTTCTTTCATCAATATTCTAGTATATTCAGTACCGTGATAATTTAAAAAAAAATAGTAAAAAAATAAAGATTTACATAATCAATTTAATGAATCTTAGCTGCGCGCATGTGCACTCATGTATTCAAATACGTTATAAAGATTATAATGCAGTCATCACATATAACATGATGATATTATTGACATAAAGAAAACAAATAATATATATTATTAAAATATTATGAATAACGTATTGTTTTTTGAAAATGTATCATACAGCTTCATTAAGAAAATTTCAACTTATTTGTTAAAATAATTCATTTAATACGCTATTTACACGGAAAAAAAAACGGTTAGCTGTATTGTGGGAAGGAGGCGCTTTCTTTCATTACGACTTGTATCTCACAAGCCTGCCTACTAATAAAGATTCACACTAATCCACTGTGTGAACTTAATGTATTTTCTCCTTTATTATTCTTATCCGCCACATTCTGTTTGGATTTCTGTCAGCATCGTCCTGAGTCAAGCGCGTGAACTTCAAGGTAGCAAAAAACTAAACATACTATAATTCGACCGTTTTGACATATAAGTTTGGTCTCCAAACGATAGAGATATCGTGCTAAATAACTAATATCATAAATAAATGAAACGGAATGCAGGGAACATATAATTTATAATATCGAACGCCTTAGTAAATAGCTTGAAAACGCAAAGATTAGTATAAAGTGAAGTAGATCGGCTTGCAATATAACAGAAACAATAATAAACTAAACGGAATTAATTCGAGACATAGATGAATTCGATGACCCCTTTTTAGTATGCTTATATCTGTTTAGGATTTGATCCAATGACACATATTGTTAGCTTATGTTCTCATGTTCCGACTTCCGACATAGGATCGCTGTATATTTTGAAATCCATCAAATCAGATACTATGTACCAGTCATTTGTAAGCGTTTTAATTACTTCATATAGACCTTTGAAGAGAAGTATCACTCTCTTATAGACATAGCAGCAATCTCTTACAGACAGCCAGCATACTTCAAAATCTCGGACCATGACCATATCGCACGACCATGAAAGGAGGGCGTATTAGGTGGCGACGGGACGTCCGTGCGTTCGAGACCTGCATTTTATTTTCATTCCGAAGAGAGAAAAATATCGAGAGCGCGGTTAATCGCTAGATCGGGAATCGTACCCGGGTCTTTCGCTTGCCGGGCGACTGCTTTAAACCATTGAGCTACCTGACGCTCCACGCTGACAACATTCTCTTCTCCCTAGATAACGTTAAAAGATACCATATCACCCACATAATATTTTTTTAGTGAAATATGTTTCTTATTGTATATTTGTTTCTGTTGAGATTGAAATTGCAAAATAATTGCCTCGCAAAAAAATTAATTGCCTCGTTTCGAGTAGTTTTCAAATCTTGAAGAGAACTTAAATCATCTACATGATTTATAATAAGATCGGGATATGGAGCGCGTTAATCAAAACCAAAGACTAACTTTCCAATAGACCTGTTTATTGTATTGTTAATAAAATATTCTATTCGATCTAAAAATTAGTACCATAGCTGACCATTGTCGTTATTTGTCAATTTAGCCGACATCGGTGTTATAATACAGTTAATGCGTGCAGTCTGACAGTTGGTCTGTGGCGATCTGATAGCTGTTTTTACATATCGAATGCCATATTTATTTAAAAATTCGACAAACTCGGTAGAAGTAAAGGAACTTCCTCGATCTGAAACTAGAACTCTTGGTGTTCTATAGCACTGAAAGTATTGCGTCAAGCATCCGATTATTTCTTTAATATTAGTTGTTTTAGCAGTATATAGTCGCACAAATTTGGAAAAAACGTCTACAACTAAAAATATATATTTCTTTAACGAGGTTTTTCGATCTACCGTTCCATGATGATCAACAAGAATCATTTTGAAAAGCAGGGATTGGTTTCGACGATTCAAAAGTGGTAATTGTGACGTTCACGACAAACAACGACCAGGTCAATCGAAAAAGTTCAAAGAAGAACAACTGCAAGAACTCTATTGGAAGAAAACTCTGCTCAAACATTTAAAGAATTGGCTCAATAGCTCGAAGTCGATGAATCAATTATTTCACTTTTCAATTATTTCAATTTTCAGTTTACCATGGAAAAGATCCAGAAAAATAGGAGATGGTTGTCACATAAATTGACCGAAAATGCTATTGTTAAACATCTCGATTTCTTTATTTGCACGGCATCAAAAGAAAAGTTTCTTGTAATATATCGTAACCGGCGATGAAAAATGGATTTATTTCGACAACCCGAAACGCAAGAAATCATAGGTTGATCTTGGCCAACCATCAACGTCGACACCAAAGCGAAACATCCACTGTCACAAAACAATGTTTTCTCTTTGATGGGATATGGAGGGATATCGTGTATTATGAGTTGTTAAAACCGAATTAGTCACCAAAATAGTCACGAAATAGTCATCACTAAACGTTATTGACAACAATTAGAGCGTTTGAATGATTTAATTTGTTGCAAAAATGACCATCAAATCGCCGAAAAATGATTCTTCTCCATAACAACGCTTGGCCCCATGTCGCTATAGCCGTGAAACGAACATTGATGGAGCTCGAATGGAAAGTTCTCCTGCATCCAGCGTATTCTCTGGACCTCGATTACCATTTGTTCCGATCGATATATGCTTTGAAAAATACACATTTCTATACAATTATGGAGAGGTTGAAAATTGGGTTGCTGATTAAATTGGCTCAAAAGACAGACCATTCTTTCGTCACGGAATTCAACTTCTGCCAGAAAAGTGGGAAAAAGTCATAACTTCCGAAGGCAAATACTTTGATTGATGTATTCACACATTTTGTTATTAAAATAAATATTCAAAAAACACAAAAAACAGCGGCTTTCAATGCAATCTCCTAATATATTCTCCAACCATATATTAGGGAGTTGCATTAATTCATGCTGCTTTTTACTTGTAATATTTATTATTTTCATAATATGTTACAATCGGATATCAATCAAAGTAATTGCCATTGCTTTCGACTACTTTTTGCCAATTTTCTGGTAAAAGCTGGTTTCCTCGTCAAAAGAAAAACCTGTCTTTTGAAGTAATCTAATCATCGACCTATTTTCGGAGTTCTTCGAAATTGGTGAAGTATGTGTCTTCCAAGGCGTGTTCATGGAGCAGGACATGTAAAAATCGAAAGGAGCAAGATCGGGAAAATATGCTAGGTACGAGAGAACTTCCCATTCCAGGCCCATCAGTGTTTCTTTAACCGTTCTTGCCACCTGCGATCTAGCGTTGTTGGAGGATCACTTTCCGCCTGTTATTGGCTACTGACAATCATTTTACATCAATTCATCGTTCAATCGCTCCAGTTGGCATTGATAAAGTGTGATATTAACCGCTTCACTGAAATTCAGAAGCTCATAATACACTACGCCTTCCATAGCCCACTAAATGCATAGCATTATCTTCTTTCCGTGAATATTCCGCTTTGATGTCGAGCCACAACTTCCTCTGTTTCGGATTTTCGTAGTATCAGTTTTTCGTAGTTTCCACTTTTCGTCCTTAGTCACGATATACCACAAAAAGCTCTTCCTATGTTTAGCAAGCAAGAAAATGCAAATATTCAAGCGATTCAATTTTGAACTTTCTGATAATTGATGAGGTACTCATTTTCTTTCCTTGTGGATTTTTTCTAGGACATGTAGCCACTTCGAAATGATTGATTTCGACTTCAAGGGCTGCTGATAATTTTTTCAGCATCTGTGTTGGATTTTCATCCAATAACTCCTGCAGTTCGTCGTTAAATTTTTTCGACTTCCCTGAGTATTTCTTGTCTTAAACTTCAATGTCACTTTTTTTGAAAGGTTGCATCCATTTTCTACACGTTCTTTTCGAAGAAGCACTTCGCTATAAGTGTCCAAAAGCAATTGATAAGCTTCAGCCGCACTTTTTTTCAAATCAAAGGAAAGAAGAAGCACATGTCAGAGAAACACTTTATTGCATTCTATATTCGCTTAACTTTTTATCACTTTATTCTGTACACAAAAACGACCTTTGTTGATTGGATGTTGTTTACAACATCCGGAACCATCTGTCCCCAGCGGCACGAATTAATGCAACCTCCTAATGTATTAATGCTACTTTTCGACATATGGACTTTTCAAAATGGCACTTGACTTTTCTTTTCATTTTAACCTGATTAATCTTTACAATTTTTCATTTCCAAACATTCAAAAATCCCGAATACCTTTTATATATAAATAGTGAATTAATTATTAAAATAAATTAATTTTACGTAAAATATAAAACATGAAAACAATAAAACATAAAAACAATGGAACATACTGTTATTTTAAGATGAATCGTTATCATGTTGTCAATATTTAATTATGTGAAGTGTAATTGTTATTTTTTCACAAATCAAGCCTCCCTCAGAAGGTGAGCTGTCGGTCACATCTGGTATTCTTGGAAGGATTCACAAATGGAAGAACGAAACTTCGGTAAACTATACATAATTTAGTTATCATACAAATCTTTGTTTTGTTCGAATTTTACGTGTGCATCGAACATTTCTAAAAGCAATTTTATTATTATACAAGACGTCCCAGAAGAATTTTTACAGAGCTTGTGGAGACAGAGCGAATTAAAACAAACATAAAAGTCCCATACCGTTTGGAAATATTTATGATCATTATCAAATTATTATAACAGAATAATTAATAATAATAGAAATCTGAGGAATGGGCACATGCTGACATGGATGATTGGAAAAGCGTTATAGTCGCTTGGCCCGGGATTTCCGGGAATGTCTCGGAATTCTTAAGCTTGTCCCCTGTTCAGGAATTTAAGTTTTCTGTCCGGAAAAATCAGAATTTCAATAAAAATCATAATTATAACATTCGTGTTTCTAACTGGTACCAGAGAGAAATTTGGTACCGTGACTTATAGGGTCGATGGTCGAATTGTTCGACATGCCACCTAAAAATATTTATGTCAACTAAGCCATTCACGTGGTAAAAAATACAATCGCACTGTTTATGTCCAAATTATTCTCTGCTGGTACCTAATTCACGCATTTATTTGTTGCGAGTGCACAGCATCTCTTAGCTATCTTACCCTTCTATCTTTCAAATTTAACTAAAATTCTCTAACAACCTATTTTTCAACCGTCGCTTAAAAATATCCCGGAAATAGCCATTTCGCATCTAGCAATCCTAGCCGCAGTGCGATCTAATCAATCCAGCAACTGTTGTTGATGCACGGCGAGGGGAATCATATGTTGATGCACGACGAATCACTATTCGGGTTTTATCTCTCCGCACCTACGTCTCGGTATATGACGTCAACAATTGCTAAATCAACTGGGTCGCGTTATGGCCCGACAGACTGCCATGCTTCTTCAATCATCTATCTTGACGCGCGCTCACTCGTCAGATTTCTGTAATTGACAACTCGATAATTATCGTGAATATCGCAAAACGGTATGGAACTTTTATGTTTATCTCAATCCGGTTTATGTTTCCATGAGTCCTGTAAAAATTGTTCTGGGACGTTATATATATTTATTATTATTATTTATTTTATTATTTGACCAAAAGTTTTTTTTTAAGATGCGCGTTATTAAAATATCTTAATTAGTTATGTGCTAATTGCATCAAGTTACAATAGAAGAATATTAATTATACTAAAAAAATAAACTAAAGATACAAAAAAAGATAATCATATAATATTATTCTATTTCTCTTTTAGCATAACTTATCAAGCTCGGAATTTTTTACTAGAAATGTTATCTTTCAAAAGTGATACGTTACTGTTACTATTATTAATTTAAAAAAAGTAATTCGCTATTGTTATTAAAATAACAAGACGTTACAATTTTTATTACTTTATTTATTAAGAAGGAAACTGTCGAAATTATCCCTCATCGATTTTGATGTTTTAGAGAATTGAAAAATAAGAAATTCATATTTTTTTATATGGACTTTTATCAAGGTTTAGAGATGAGGAACAACCTCTCGAAAAAAAATAGTTTTTCATTTTTAACGAATATCTTCGAAACTAAGAGGTGTGTGAAAAATGTCTTATACAAATATTGTATACTTTTTTATACTCTTTATAAAAATATTATCATATTTTTCGATAATTTGTTAATGTATCCCTATTCCTACCCACAATAATTTTGCAAAATTTAAAAATTGTGTAAGAACAAAAATTAAAGAGCATTGCATGCCGAATCCATCTATGTATTGTATAATATAATAATAATAGTATATTTTCAATATAATAATAGTATATTTTCACGATTCAATTTTTGAGAAAATTAGATGATAATATTGTACTATAGGTACCGTGTGATGTATGTAAATGTTGCATTATTCCTCTCCAGTTGCATTATAATCAATAATTGCCTTTTGTATATATTTTCTTATACTATATGAAAACAAAATAATCCTAATGACATAATATGTCCATATAAAAAATATGTGTCTCTTATTTTTCGATTCTCTATAATAACGCCCATTAAAATCGGTGAGGGACAGTCTCGACAGTTTCCTTACAAGTTTGGAAGATTTCTTTCAACGACTCACTTTTGCCCGTTACATGTAGATATATTCTAAACATGCAAAATAACGAAGAAAATAATCACATTCATATAAACGTATATGTGTGTGTGTTTGTAATATATCATAATATACAGGGTGACCTATTTTAATATACCACTCCCAAAAACTTTTTTATTTTTGAATGTAGAAAATTTAGAGTAGTAAGAGTTTAGCACAACCATTAAATTTTTTTGCACGAACAATACAGGTGGAGTCAGTCTAGGCTTTGTAAACTTTGAAGTTTCATAGCTCTGGAATGGCTTATGCAAAAGACAATTATGGGTAGTGTTTTTAAATGTCTCGACAAGATCTACAACTTTTATCTGAAAAAAAATTCAAGTTCCATTTAAGAAATTAGTCACTTTCAAATTTTCTTGGAAACGATGACACCTGTGATACGACTTATGTCATGATCATGTGTCCCCCTTCACACCAAACAACTTTTGTCTGAAGTATTTTTTTCTACAATCAAAGATAAAAAAGTTTTTGGAAGTGGTACATTAAAATATGTTACTTTGTATAGTGTTCTATAATTCAAACCCATTATTTACACAATTCCTCATAAATGAAGTTTTGATAAATTTTCCTTAATAGAAATACCAAGGAAAATTACTATTTATAGCTTTTCAATTTTGAACATAATACATCTTTAAAAATAAGCCTCAAATTAAAATTATATTAAAATAAAATTTGAAATTGATCGAAGAAAATTTTATTATCAATTTTAATGTCTAAATTTCAGCTCGCAAAAAACACTGTTTCTTCGATTGTTTGTATCTCGAAAATTATTGATGCCTTAACATTTTTCTTAACAATGTCAAATTTTTATTAAAAAATAGCTATGTATACAATAGACACGAATTACTGAATATTTTGTATCACAATTATATAAAAAAAAATGTAATTATATTATTATCACTAATGAGAAAAACAATTCTGTAGTTCAGATATTACTAAAAAAATAACTTATAACGGTAATCGTGTTATAAGTACAAGTAATTATAAATATATTTTATAATTATAAAATAAATGTTACAAGTAACGTATATAATCTTGATATATCGCGATGTATCCTGTGATAATTTCTATTCTGTCAGTTATTCGCAACACATTTTTACTAAATATATCTTTACTTTTTTTCAAAGGGAATCTTCAAAGATAAAAGCAAGTATCCCACTTTAACGAGAATGTCATACTGCCAGTGTCGATTGCGACTTGTTTTCTCTAGCGTGTTTAAAGAGTTTGGATGGTCGCATGTTGCACTGATACTGGACAGATCGGATTTGTTCTCGCTAACTGTAGGTAAAAATCTGGAATATGGTCTACGAAAAGACGGACTCTTGAAGTTCGTAAGAGAATTGGACGGGAACTCCGAAGACGAGCCGTATCACTTTTATCTGCGCGATGCGAGTATGTATGCTAGAAGTAAGTAATAGCTAATCATATTTGTATTATATTCATTGAATGCCTGAAGATACGTTTTCTATCGAAAAATCGATATTAAATTTATTGAAAATTATAAATAGACAAATCTATTAAAACTGTAATTAAAGTAAGAATATTTTGGAATATTCTGCGGACATAATTTTTTTCTCTTTCTATATGTGGGGAGAATATTATACGTATTTGGCTTTCTTAATATAAACAAATATAAATTTTTCTCAATTTTAACATATTTCCTAATTGCGCGGAAATAGGCTATCAATAGAATTTATCTTGATAAAGACACAGTAAATTTATTTAATAGATTTAGATTAGTTCTAAAATATAACAGGGCATAACAGGTTCATCCGAAACAATTTCTTGTTTTTAATATACTATATATATTCTTAAACAAATTCTGAGACTATTTTTCCTCTTGCAAAATGTTATCTGATGCTTAGTTACTGAGTTATTAAGATAGTTCATCTATTACAAGCCAAGTATAGAAGGCAGAGAGGGACAGAACAATCGATCGTTCGCGCGCGCACCGTGCACTAGGAAAAAAAATTTAGTATCTCTAACAAAACTGTTTATTGTTAATAGTTGAAAACTGTTAATAGTTGAAGCATTTTTTAATAGCAACCAAATATCTTGTTTCATATAATAAAATATACTTAGTTGTCTCAACTAAACTTTGTTCTCTGAACCAAATGATTTCTGTAATCTGTGATTCTGTGATGGTGAGTTCTTAGACTTTATATATAAAAATTAAGCATTTTAGTAATTTCATCCATAAAAATTACGTAATAACGAAATATTATTTTATATAAACTAAAATAATATCCAATGGATACTATTTTGTCTTTCTGTGCACTAAAATTTAAATTTTATATATTAAGAAAAAATTATGTTGTTATATAAGGATATTATTATAATATTTTTAACAAAATTCATTTAGTTAAAGCTTTTTGGTTGCTATAACAAAAATATTACGTTATACGAACAAACTGTAATCAAACAAAATATTTGTTTGCAGGAACTAAACAGTTTTGTTGGGCATATTTTAACCAAATTATTTTGTTGTTACAACAAAATTTTGGTTCACGCAATAATATATTTTTTATAGTGTGTAGGCGCTGACGTTAGGCGCTTGTGCGATGTGATTCTTAAAACTTAAAAATTTTAATAATCGTGGGTGTAGTATTATTAGTAGCAAATGTAGTATTATAAATTAGTAGGATATTAGTAACTCAAACGTTACGTTGTAATATTAGTACAATATTACAACGTAACGTTTGAGAGTAAAACATTCGATATTACGTGAGCTTTTTTCAATTGCAAAATAAACTATAAAAATACAAACGAGAGGAACGAAATATTAATTATGTTTAGAAAGCATAAGATATTCTTATTTTTAAATAAATCTACGAATGTATATTCTTTTATAATGAGTTGTAAGATTGCTTATCTTGATATTAACAGTTTTTATCATTTATTAGTGCACCTTCGTTCTTATAAGATAAACAAGTTTTAATTTTAATTTTGCGCACGATTTGACCATGAGTTATGGACATTCTTTTCTCCTTGTGACAGGTAAGATTAAAAAGGACAGAGATTAAAAACGCGACATTTGTTCACGTTTTACAATAAGTCGGTGATTCGTAGCTAGTTTTACAATTTTCCAGTTGGTCTCGTTCACGTATCTCACCAATCGGTTTTGTTCGCATAATATCGAATATTTTACTCTCAAATTTTACGTTATAATATTGTATCCTAGTAATTTACAATACTATATTTGCTATTACACCCGCGATTATTAAAATTTTTAAGTTTTAAAAATAAAGTGTATGTTATCACATACATCGATCATCATATCGCACTAAACGCCCAACGTCAGCGGCGTGCTCACGAACGGTCAATTATTCCATCTCTGACTGCCTTCTGTTCCCGACCCGTAGACGAATTATTTAGTTTAATAATTCATTAACTAAATATTGGATAATATTTTGTAAGAGGACAAATAATCTTAGAATTTATTCAAAAATATGGTACATTAATGGACAAGAAATTGTTCCGGATTAGCCTGTATAAAACATATAAAACTAAAGAATAAGTTAAGACGGAATATTCATTATATGTTTTTCAGTCACAAAAATTCTATTATATTTTATAATCTTTATAAAATTCTTTTTGTATATAAAATTCGTAACAACGAGTGATATTATAAATCTAAATTATGGATTTAACGACTATTGGGAATTTTTAACAGTTCTAATACTGAGCGTCCGCGGAATGCTAGTCAGAAAGTTCATGTTGGCCGCACACGAATTAGGAATGACAAGAGGGGATTGGGCTTTCCTCGACGTTGAGATATTTCAAGTAAGGCGCCATAAAAAACAGAAATTCTATAAAATAGTGTTCGTTAACATGGCAGCTAATCTATCGTAGATCATTTTTTATCTTAAGGCGTTGAGGCGACAAAACTGCAATAAAACAAAGCGAATATAAAGAATAATTTTAAGGGCTCTTATTGGGGAGATCACGGCTGGGAAATGGGAGATGAGAACGATACCGCTGCTAGAAAGGCTTACGAAGCTTTGTTAAGGGTATCTCTTCTTCAACCAACTAGTCCACGATTCCAAGATTTCGCTGATAGTGTTAGGCAACGTGCACAATCCGACTATAATTATACTTTTTCCGAAGGTGAAGAGGTAAGATGTTTAGATTTTGATATTAGTAGCATTCATATTAAACCTCTTAATATACAAATTGACAAATTGTCATCATGTCTCATGTTTACATTAATATCAAATATATAAGAACTAATTAGACATTTCAGAAAAAATGAGACCAAAATCTGCATACTTACATAACACCTCGATACATCTCAAATGCATATTATATTACTTTTTTATTCAGAAATATTTCATTACTTTCTTTTTTTAAGGTAAAATATAATTAGAGTACAGTTATTTTATTCGAGAAATTACGATTTATTAGTTCTTCAAGTCACACGTTGGATTTCTCTCTTAACCTCTTGTTTTCATTGCGCAGGTAAATTTCTTCATCGGTGCGTTTTATGACGGCGTTTACTTATTAGGAATGGCATTGAACGAAACTCTGGCTGAAGATGGCGATATCACGGATGGCATATCTATAACCAGAAGAATGTGGGACCGAAATTTCAATGGTATTACGGGCCATGTCAGAATAGACGACAATGGAGATCGTGATGCGGATTATAGTATTCTGGATTTGGATCCTATTACTGGAAGGTAATTAAAAATTCGAATGATTCATTCACTTATGATCTTATCGGCAATCTGAAATTATTCGCCAAAACACTTGACGCTATAGTTTTATTTGAGATTAAACCAAGACGCTTATATAAAAATTAAAATTACTAAAAAAGCTAAAATAAGATCGGAAAGCAACATATTTATTCGAATCTCAACATGTATCTTAAATATTTATTTATCTTTTATAGTCTGAAAATTATATAATTTAAAGAGTCGAAAAAATTTAATTATAAGTTTTGTCAACTTTATTAGGCTTGTAAATTAATTCAACGCCTTAAGTTTTATTCATTTCTAATATAAATTATAAACATAAATATTTTTTCATTCAATTACGGTTTTAAAACTGTCATCTATGTTTATGAAACGCAACGCAACATCGCAGAATAATACAACATAATCTCAAGAAATATTAAGAGTTTGCAAAAGTTTGTATGATATTAAAGTCATTTTTGTTTATTAATAACACAGAAATAATATAAATTTTAATCAAAGTATTAGCCGTTAGTATCAATAATCTTTTGCCATCTTTCGGGTAATAGTTCAATTTTGCGCAAATAAAATAATTCATCTATTGAAGAAATCCATTCATAAACACATTTTTCTATTTCCTCAGTATTATGGAATCGTATATCAGACAGACCGTGCTGCATCAATCTAAATAGATGCAAATCAAATGAAATGATATCTGGAGAATAAGTTAGATGCAATAAGGTTTCCCAATTTTACTCGAACAACGTCTCTTTAGTTGCAACAAGAACATGCGGCCTGGTATGTTGTCAGGCAGAATGATTTTGCATTGATTCACACCTATTTAAAGGCATTTTTTCTTTACGGCTTGATTTAAACGCCATAATTGTTGGTTGTATCGATCTTCTGTGATTGTCTGCTCCGATGGTAATAGCTCATGATAAATAAGTATAATAAAGATAATAAAGCACTCCTTGGTCTCGCTAAATACACAGAAGAAGAACTTTATGACCTTAAATGTTGCGTTTTGTTGTGAATGTCGATGTCTTTCGGAATCAATTCATAATTTTTAACCATTTACCCGATCCTGCAAGTTGGAGCTACAGGACCTCGAGTCTTCCAGCTTCTCCAACTATGCATGAGTTGCAATCCCCAATGCAGCAATCGCCACTTTGATAAGGGCTAAGCCTATCTCACTCTTCGATGCTAGGTCCACCAGCATATGTTCCGGCGTTTCTTTATTCCTATTATCTTCTCGGATGATGATATTATCTTCTCTTTTCCTAGAATCACCTGGTACTAGCGCTTGAGAATTCCGCTTCTTTCTCCTCTTTGTGAATCTTCAGAACTTGCCAGTTTGAGGCATCCGCTCCCCGGATTCTAGGTGGATCCCCCCGTTGAGAAAGTACCTTTTTTCGTCCCTGGAGCGAAGTTTACGACTAGACACAGACGCCGATACAGTCTCGTCCAATGAGCTATCCGATTTAATAGCTCGGCGAGCTCTCCTGGATCCCTTGAAGGCAAAAAAACTGTCCCTCATTACTTTCCGCAGACGGAAGGCGAAAAGAGGATGGAGCAAGTTTTCTTCCATGTTGTTTCCTCCGGGGTTTGAAGTCTTTCGACCTCCATTCAGGGACATTTCGACAGATTCCGCCAATAACGGAGTACTCTTTATCCTCTCCGTTAACTGCGCCTAGGTCCTGACTCCGGCCTTTCGTACCTTGCACAAGAAATGGCCTATTCTATATTCTATAATCTAATTCGAGGTCCTATTGTCGTATCTCCTCCATGGTTATGCGGGAATCGAGTTCATCCCCGCCAGTTCTCTCCAACATATTGTCCTTCATAAGTTTCTTGATGTTGGATGGACCAAATGGCTTCACAAATGACTGTCGAACAATATATAGGTCGAGATAAAGTTTTCTTGACGGGCTAATTTGGTGCACTCAACCTATGATGTCCGTATATGGCAATAATTTTATCGGTTTAAATGCTCGCCGACAATACCTCCACCAGTTCTACGCATGATGACAAGACAGCAACAGGGATCATACCACCATCTCGCCGGCCCTGGAGGTCCGATCCTTTTATAAGTAAGTAAGTCTATTTTCTTATTCGCCATGTACCTCCATGAGTTGTGATTTTTAGAGAGGTTTTCTGTCTCTTTCTGTTGGTTTTCTGTCGGAGTTTTTCTTCTCTTAGGTCGACGACATCCAAGAATGATAGACTCAGCCAAAGATAATAGACTTCGAGTTAGAATATTTTTAAGACGACACTGACACGTCTGAACAAAGATTCATCCTCGAATTATGGCGCTCTTTATAGAAATCCCTCTCCAGATATCCTGTCATTGATCCGCGCCCGTTTATTCCTCTGCAAAGAAAGTTATTTAACGGGTAACCATCACATCTGATAGGTCTTGCTCTATCCGCCACGTAGGGACGCGTCCAATAACGGGAGCCACCGCCACGAGAACGAGAAGGAACCTAGAATAATTTAATCCTATTCTATCCTATTCTAACTTATACATCTTTGCATATGATTGAATGTTTTAAAGGGGCTTTTTTGACAACGCCCAATCATATACAAAAATATATAAGTTGGGTTAGGTTAAATTAGGTTGGGTTTTTTTCGGGAGGGACTCCTCCTCCCACTCATATATATTGTTTAATATTTTTTAATATACACTGAACGGAAAAATAATTTCTATTCATAAAATTTTTTTTTTTAATAACTTTATAATAAGCAATGAGCGACGATTTAAATCTTTTAAAAGTTACTCAGGAAGATGACCATAAAAATATATATAAAAATAAAAATCATTGTATATGAGTTCTTTATTTACGTTGTTTTTTCCATAAATCTCACAAACCAGTCTCTCTTTTGTATCCTATTTTTGCTATACTAGTAAATATACAAACATTGATACTGAGCTTTACGATGTAATAATAAGGAAAGAGTTACTAAATGTTCGACAGTAAATACTTGTAATTAATTGTTAAACTAATTTATGATTTATTAAATATGTAACTTAGTTTCTTTCAATTCAATATTTAAGTTTTCATAATTTCCAAACTATACAGAAAGATTTCAGATACATGTTGTCAGAATTTAAGCTAGCTATTCAAAAATAAACATTTATATGTATTTGCATATAAATATATATTACATACAATATATTATTCATATTTGCGCCATTCTACTAAAAAAAATTTAAGGGAGCCTTATCTTTCTCTCCTCCCAATTGTCCAATATCAGTATTCTCTTTACTATGTAAAAAAAGTCAACAAACATTAAAAAATTATAGAAATCTAATTATTTTTAATATTTTCCACAAAATAACTTATAACATCTTAGGTAAGATACTTTACATATAAAATAGACAAATGTGCATTTTAAAGAAAAAGTATCCAAAACTTGGTAAAAAAATAACGGAATTGTAATAATCAATTTCTTGAGTAACGACTACTATAATGAGTTACTTTTCTCAATGGTTAGTGAGCAACGCTAACGGTAACGTTATTTTTCATAGGTAATTATTCCAACCTTGCTAAAATATTCGTAACGATGTCGAAAATTAATTGGAAAGTACCGGCATATATTTTACAGATTCGAGGTGGTCGCTCATTATCTAGGATTAAATCGAGAATATAATCCTATAACTGGTAAAAATATTCATTGGCCGGGAGGGAAGGAAGGACCTCCGCCGGATATTCCAAAATGCGGTTTTTTAGGGAATGATCCTGCTTGCACATCAGGGACAGAAGCTTATACGTTTGTAGCTTACACGAGCGTGGCACTCGCTGTGTTCTTCCTCATTGCGATTATGGCCGCTTGTTTTTTATACAGGTATACCTTCCGAAATTTTAAGCAGCTTCATAAGTCGATTACATCTGCAGCATGAAATTAACATTATTAATTAGAACAGAAAATAAAATCTTTTGACATAGGCATTTGCGATTGTCTGCCGATCTTAATAATATGTCTTGGCGTATAAAACCTGAAGAATTGCTTCTCGAAGTTGGCAAGCAGTTCTCGTCTAAAATAAATCTACATCAAGCGATATCTGACATAAACGTGAGTAGTCAAGGTTGGAAAAGTTATCTTTCTTTTTTCTTAAAAAATACTCATTATTATTCGCAGGGTTGGGCAAATTGTTTTTTAAAAGTAATTATGTAACGTGTTGCTATTACCCTTATTTCGATTAAAAGTAATTCGTTACTGATTTTAAAAAGTAACGCGTTACTATTCCTTAAAAGTAACGATTAAAATCGTTACTTTTCTCGGTATTTTCTTCTTAATTTTAAGGTAGAGTTTTAAGGCAGAGTACTGTAAGAAAGAATATAAATCGAATATACACAAGATGGCTCACCAAACCGTGTTTATTCGAAAAATAATGATCAGAATTCAAAAAGTAAGACACCGTTATAAAGCGAATTTATCGCATTTTCAAATGATATATTGATAGATATCCTGTGCCATTTAAAATTTTTATGATAAAATAAGCTCCTCTTATAGAGTTGAAATTTAGTGAACGGAAATAGCCAATTATTATAGCCTTTTCAACGGAAGTTGATGTGTCCAGAAATTTCTCGAGAAAAATTAGGTTAAATACCAAAAAGTACGCTTGTTTCGTTTTCGGTGAACCACTCTGTATACAGGGTGTTCTAAAAAGATATGTCAAAAATTTAAGGAGATATTCCTCACATCTGAAGGATGAAAACATGTTATATGGACGTAGATGCGGAAATGCTTATTTCAGGAGTTATGTTGAAAATACTGTTAGCTGTATTACTTACACAAGGAAAAATTTAGGATTAATTATTGTAGACGACAATCGTTTAATTAGGCTTATTTACATTTGGTTTAATGTGACCTTGAGTTAGTTACAATAAATGTTGAAAATGTTCGCCATTCGCCTGAATACAAGCAGTGATAGATAGATACATAGATTTCTTAGAAAACCATTTTCCTATTCTGTTAGAAAATGTTCCGTTGATGATTAGACAAAACATTACTTTATGCATGAACTCCTCCTCATTTCAGCCGTATTAGTCGTGATTTTCTCAATCAAACTTATGGTGATCGATGGATAGGAAGAGGTGGATCTACTATATATATTCTTATTATTATTTCCCGAGAAGCAACGAGCCGTTTCAATTTCTGTTACATCTCTTTTTAAATTTGGAAGATCTTTTTACAATTCGCTCTTGATGATTTAATACAAGTCAATTTTATGTATGCAAATTAACTACAAAATTAAAAATTATATTCGTTATAATTACACAAAATGTGCAAGTGACATATTATTTCCCGAACCTGTGAACGGTATTGAATAAGTGCAAAAGTTCGTGCTCATTTTTCAATAAGTCATTTGGTAATTTAATATATAAAAATTTTTATCTAATTGACCAAATATTTTCCATCATTTTCCATAATCTCTTTCCAACATTCTGGCAACATACCAATATCATCGGTCATAGAATGTATGCGATTTCTTATTAAGGAACATCATGATTTTTTAAAGTTGTGAAAGATGAAAAGTTATTTCTATTCAAACTGTTTTGTGATGGAACAAATGATAGTCTGATGTTACGATGTCAGGCGAATATGAAGGATGCAATAAAAGATACCAATCCAGCTCTTTTAGGTTGTGCTGTGTATGCATTGAAATGTAAAGTCCAGTATTGTTGCGGTGAAAACGTCATCCTGATTAGTTAAAATCAAACGTTCTTCACGGATTTCTGCCTTTAAATTATCCAGTTATTGACAGTACTTATTGGAATTAATCGTTTCATCAATAGAGAGCAATTTAAAAAAGATTACATCTTTGCAATTCCAGTAAACAAACATCACCTGAAGATGCAAAGGTCTTGATACAAGCTGACCGAATTTGTTTTTTTCTTCAAGTCCGTTTATGTTAACCATTATTGTATATATTATGTCGTTAAATATGAAATGTCCGATTTTCCTAAATACTAAGTTCGTCAGTCGATATCTCTAACATTTCACTTTTACAGTTCTTGGTTTTTTTGTTGTGAAGCTACATCATTACTTTTTGATGATGACGCTTGTTTTGATTTGTGATTATCTTTCGAGTTGTCTTTATTGTAATAATTTTTATGTAACCATGGATAAGTCCAAAGTTCGTGTTATTTTCAAATATGAGTTCCATCGTGGAACCAATGCAGCGCAGACAATTCGAAATATCAACAAAGTGTTTGATGAAGATGTGGCTAATGAATGCACAATACGCTGATGATTTAAGAAGTTTCGTTTTGGTGATTTTAATATTGAAAATGACGTCCACGTGGACAATCCGAGACCAAGGTGGATAATGATGAGCTGAAAGCTGTAGTGGAAGCGAATACATCTCACACTACGCGTGAATTAGCAGCAAAGTTTAACGTTACTATTCTAACAATATTGGATCATTTGAAACATATTGACAAGATAAAGAAGCTGGATAGATGGATTCCGCATGAATTAAACGGGCGTCAGAAGAGAAATCGTCTCCAAGCTTGCCTTTCTTTACTATCACGACATAAAGGCAAACCATTTTTACATCGTATTATTACATGTGATGAAAAATGGATTCTTTTCGACAATCGCAAGCGTTCAACTCAATGGTTAGATAAAGTGCCGAGACACAGTCTGAAACCGAATATTCACAAAAAAAGCTAATGGTGTCTGTTTGGTGGTCCAGCGTATTATCCATTACAACATGGTGGTATTATCCATTACAGCTTCATGAAACCTGGTCAGTCGATTACAGCGGATGTCTACTGTAACCAACTGGACGAAATGCTGAGGATGCTTGCAATTAAGCAGCCGAGATTAGTCAATAGAGACAAGCTAATCCTCTTGCAAGACAACGCTTGACCACATGTTGCACAAACAACTCTGCTCAAACTACAGGAGCTGGACTTGAAAACTTTCCATTACCCACCGTATTCGCCAAACCTTATACCAACTGACTACTATTTCTTCCAGGCACTAGACCATTTCTTGCAAGAAAAAATATTCAATTCTCAACAAGCTGTGTGAAACGCCTTCCGCCATTTCATTGCTACCTACTCTTCAAGCTTCTTCGTTGCTGGCATAAATAAGCTACCGTTAAGATGGCAAAACTGTGTCGACAGTTTAAGCGCATACTTTAATTAAATGTACTATTTCTAGTTTGAGATATAATAAACCAAACTTTTGATTCAAAACCGGATATTTCATATTTAATGACCTAATATAAGATTTGCATATAGAAATGGATATATAGGATCTATTTTACCTCACCTGTCACTAATCAATTCAAAAACGGACCTTTTTTTTATTGGCCGTGCGAAGAACCTGCTACGGAAACTCGGTTAATTTTGTTCTTTTGAATAAAAATATATGGTACGCCCAAACATCGAGTTTTCGACTATATTCAATATTTTTAAATATAGAAATGCTGTCGATCTATAGACTCTTCTACAATTTTTTCTATTGGGATTCCTTCTATTGGGATTACATTAAATTACTCACAATATTGTTGTTAATAGTTGAAAGCTGTTCAGATCGTGGCTTACTTTTAAAATTGAAATTACCACGTCGAAATTTTGAAAACCATTTTTTACAGTTCTTATAGGTGATACATGATCCTGATAAATTTTCTGAATATTTTCTACTACAGTCTTAAATTTACACTTTTCGTAAATTCAAAAGCTATGTCGAAAATGAACTTCACTAATATTCTATAATTCTTCTCACAAATAAAACGCAATCGAAGCAAACTAATACCATGTTGATATGACAACTGAGAATATTACCTTTCCAAAAATATATATCCAGCAAATACAATGTAACATATAACAACTAACATACTTGTTAGTTGTAATTTTCTATTCAACAATGTAACTATTACTCAGTCAGAACCATAACGTTGATTCAACGTTGATTCGACGTTGAAATGGTCGATCAACCATTGAATTAACGTTATTTCAACGTTTATCGATGTCGAATCAACATTGTGGTTCTCACTGAATTATATAACGAATACGTCATATAACAGTTACATTGTTCAGTAAGAAATTACATCTAACAGGTTATGTTACATGTTACATTATGTTTGCTGAGTAATATGTAAAATAATCTTTACTGAACAGTATTCCACTCAGAACCATAATGTTGATTCGACGTCAACGAGGGTTGAATTAACGTTGATTCAACGGTTTATCGATCATTTCAACGTCAAATCAATGTCGAATCAATGTTATGGTTCTGACTGGGTATGACTACTGTATATCCCCAAGCAGAACAAAAAATCATGATGACATCAAAATGATGAGGAAAACTCATTTTCTCATCATGATTTTCTGTTGTGCCTAGGTCACCAATAACATCTATTGAAATTGGACACGAAGTATTGTATTCAGCCGATATATTATATTCGTACATGTATACGTAATGTCCATGATGTGCTGTGATAAATGACAAATTATTATAACAATTGCAGAATTTCGGATTGGAACAAAGAATCCGACGTGGATCGCAAATTAGTTGCGAATCTTTACCTCCGACAACTGTCTTCACTACAGTTGGAATTTATAAAGGTGAAAGAGTAGCTATAAAAAAGATCACGAAAAAAAAAGTAGTTGATATCACAAAGAAATTACTCTGGGAGATTAAGCAAGTCAGGGATGTCACATCAGAGAATACTGTCAGGTATTTATCTTCCGATAGCATACATTTTACGAAACTTTCTTAAAGAAATATTTCGTAATAGAGAAACTCTATTGACGTATTAACTACCATGTTGGTTTGCTATTAATTATTAATTACTATTAATTAATAAATAATTAATTATTAAATATGCTATTAATTATTACGATATTTATATTTCATATATTTCAATATTACAATATTATCTAATTATTTAAATGATTAACTGAACCCTAACAGCATAAATATCCAAGGAACATCCTGAAAATATTCTGAAAACATCTCAAAGTTCTAAAAATATTCTTAAGACATTCCTAGGAGACCTTGTGCTGTCTGAGAAATTTCAATCATTAAGAAACCACATCTTGGCTTGGATAATTATCTTGGCGCGTTTTAAAGGATGAAATTTCGACTTTCAGAATAAGTAAGCCCAGGAAACAAATATGCAAGGTGGCCCATGTAAAGTGTAACAACCAAAAATTTTTAAAAATATTTATCGCATCAAAAAATTGTTTATGACAAAGTTTCATGTATTCCAAAGGTCGTTTTAACTATATAAACAAAAGTCCGCCCCGCTCTCCCCTGAAGGGGGTGAGAGATAACTTCGTAATTTCAAATGGCCTTCTATAAAATGTTATGCATTTGGATTCTACGAGAAGAAACAAGTAAACTTTATTTGGAACATTTCTTTGAAAAATATTTCTATTAAAAGTTATAAATATTCAAACTTTACAGTAAAGTGCATCCAAACTAAAGTGATAAAACCATAAATTAAATAAAAAGATTTCATAGTTTTTTATATTTTTTACTTTATTAAATATTCAAACTATTGACCACTCACATCTAAACACTTATTAATTCTTTTTAAAAAATTTTGCCTAAACATTTCCTAAACAACATTTCTAGAATCACGCTAGCGCAAACTTCACGTATTCTTTATTTTAAATCTTCTAAAAAATATACATCAGGTTTATTGGAGCCTGCCTTTGTTCGCCTTCACCGACTGTTTTGATTCTCACGGAATACTGTCCTCGTGGATCGTTGAAGGATGTCTTGGAAAATGAAGCTATCAAACTAGACTGGAATTTTCGAATGTCCTTAATCCACGATATCGTCAAGGTAGAACAAAGATTCAGAACTTATATTTGTTGTTAAATTCCTTGAGTTACATTTGTTGTTAAGTATCTAAACACGTTTAACAATTTGTTAAATTATCCTAAAAGTCCTTTTCGTTTTTTTTAAAAGAAATTAAGCATCTGAAACTTCATAAACGATAGAATTTATTGAAATATATGCGAGCCATTTTACTATATTGACCTCCTTCATCCCTTCGTCTCATGATGCCATTTTTCAAAAATGTCTTTAATTTATTGGCAAAATATTGATCGAGGTAATTGATGTCATTAAAAAATCTACATTTTTTTGACAAAAAGAATTAAAAAAGAAGGATAAGTAGCAGTCAGAATAAACAAGATCCGGAAAATAAGAAAAAGATGGAGTAGAATATCTCAATCAAATACCAGCAACTTATTCCGAATAGGTAAAGAGACGTGCGGCTTGGCATTGTCGTAGTGGGAGACAATATCTCGCCTATTAGTCAATTCTAAATGTTTTCTGGCGATCGCCACTTTAAGTTTGCTGAGCTGGAAGTAGTACTTCTCAGAGTTAATAGTCTGGTTAAGTGGAAGCAACTCAAACTAATACACAACACCCTTCCAATCCCACCAGATGTATAGTAGAATCTCTTTCGGATAAAAATCAACTCTGGCAACAAGTAAAAATCCCTTGATAGGACTAGAATTATTTATGTTCCATTGTCGGAATTACGTTGTCATAAAGAATCTTACTTTCATCCTTAATGACCAATCTTTTCAAGAAGATTTTCGTGACGTTGGAAGAGCAAATCGCAAATGCAAATGTGATCCAAAGCATTGCACTCTATTGTAGAAAGCATGCACTTTCAGCTCATAGGAAACTCACACTTCACACCCAGTAAAAAATCTGCTAGCAGTTCGCCAATTTCATCAGTATACCACTGAAAAATTCAGTATTATATTTAGCACTGACAATCAGTACATAATCACTGGTTGACAGTGAGTTTCACTGATTCACTTTTAGAGAGTACGATATCTCGGTAACTGTTTGTCGGAAGAAAAAGTAATACTAGACTTTTTTATTCTAGATCTTAAAAATATATTGTTACAGTAGCGCCCTGACTTTTGTTAATTTAATGATTTTAAAATTTCCAAAAGTCGATAAGTTAACAAAAGTTAAGGTACTATCGTAACAATATATTCTTGAGATCAAATAGAGTAACCAAATAGAGTAAAAAAGTCTAGTACTATTAGGAGTACAAATAAGTTTCCGCCGTTTTCTATTAAAAATTAGGAATTTATTGTGAAAGAGCGGTACATTACGTTTTATTCAAAGTTATATCGAAAGAAAGGCAATCAGGCTGCACGTCTGCTCTCCTACTGGCTAGCAACACCAAATTCACGAATTACGAAAAAAACTTTTGGGACAATCTAATATTTTCCTATAAATCAATAATATTTTTATCTTTTAATAGGGAATGTCTTATCTTCATACCAGTGAAGTTTCCGCCCACGGAAAGTTACGTTCGTGTAATTGCTTGATCGATAGCCGCTTCGTTTTGAAAATTTCGGACTTTGGACTTAAAACTCTTACTACGCCCTCTGACTTGATTATGGACGAAAACTATTATACCAGTAAGTTTTGCATAAGGTTATCATAGTTGAGAAATAACATATTACTTATAACGCCGTTACTCTTACAATCTATTTTTTGTCAATGACGACTTGTATTTCGGACGGTCTGAGATGAAAAGCGGCGGTTCGTACGCATGAATCGGCAGTTAGACGTCCCGTTTAGCGAATTCGATTTTGTCGTCTGGTGCCCACCTTCTAGGTGGCCTCGTTGGATAGTGTGAGGTGTAAACACGAGTGCAAAGTCTCTGAAGCAAATGGTTGCGAGAGCGTAAAAAGCAACAACGCGAAAACTTGTAGCATAGCCGCAGTAAAACTACGAGCGTAGCAACAGGAGGAGTCAACCAAACGGCTAGCCCCAAACCAACGATGAACAATGCAAAAGATAAGAAGCGCAATAAAAGAAATAATTCGCAACGCGGAAGGAAAGAGAAAACGCAAAGTTGAGCGCAACGCAGAAAGAATGAGAGATAACAACGTAGGATTCAAGAGGAAAAATTACTGTAAAAAGCACACAAAATGGTAACGCTAGTATTTATGTACAAGCAATGTTCGACTTAAAGTAAAGCAAAGCGAGGGTAAGAAGACTCCTAATAACTACTTGCAGCCTAAGGTTACCCGGAAGTCGAGCGACACTCGTACTGCGTACGAAATAAAAATGACCTCCGTTGTTCTCGGAGGCAAGTGAATATCCTTCTTGAACTTACTGAGTTACTTCGAATAGAACATCGAAATTAAAGCCGAAATTCCGCAGAACTGTCTACTACTCAAGGTCAATCAACGTCACAATGAACACTTGGAGAAAAGCGCTGAACGCTGAGAGAAAGCAACCGTAGCCGTTCCAAAAGTCTAATTTTTAAAGAATTAGTAATTCACTCGACCATGGCTCGAGTAAGTGAGGCGGAAGCTCTTCAGAGCCGTAAGTCAAAAACAGACAAGTAATACTTGGAAGAGAACTACGTATTTTCTAAATTGATTGTAAATTGACTGTATGTTTTCTAAATTGATTACTGTGTATAATTTCTAAATTGATATTGCAGATACGATATTTTGTCGTTAGTTAGATACTAACATAGACATAAGAAAGACGTTACTTCCATATTCTGGACTATGCATTCCGGTATATTACAATAAGTTCTTTCATCCAAACCTTTGCCACGTTTGCAAGAAGACAACAGAAGTGATAAATTTAACAGTATATAATCGATGTTTCTCGATCTCTTACTGCTCTGAAAATCGCATAGAAACTTGCACTTTCCTGAACACCGCAAGATTTGCGAGATTATAGAAATGTACCTGAGGGATAATCATCAACACTTTACTTATCATTATACTAGTTGGAAAAGATAAATTGAGATACAATATGATTTTTGTGTATTAATTCAACAAAATTTGAAACGTGAATTTAGGACATACGAGAAGAATATGTTTATATTTATTAGATCATGTTTTATGTGTCATCGGCAGGTCGAACTGTCTTCCTGCAAAAAATCTGTATCAGTTGATTATTACTTACAATACAGAAAAGAATTCAATCGCAGACATCGTCAAGATTCTTGTAATGACTTAATTATGTGGCTTAATATTGAAATGTTAAATATTCAATATGATAGTGCGGCCTCATTTGCAACACTTATAAAGTTAAAACTTGAAAGATTTCCTAATTACCAAAAACTCTTTAATGACATGAAAGGTTATTAAAGGCTTCTTCTTTTAGTAGGACTTATGTCCTGTTGTTCCTATCTCAATAGTTTCGAGGCTAGTTACTAGAATTATGAGCTATTTTAAAAAGCTCCCTTTCCTAAGTCGGTTGTTAGCTAGCCGGGCTTAGGTAGCCCGTTATAAGATCGACCTGTTCATTTATACCTGAATTATATTGAATTTAACAGCTCAATATTAACGCCATGTAACTTATTTAAGTCATTACAAGCGATCTTGATGATGTCTATGATTAAATTCTTTTTTGTGTTGTAAACAATAATAACTGATACATTTTATGCAGGAAGACAGTTCGACCTGCCGATGATATATGAACGATTTGACATAAGTCAATACGCACTGATATACTTCATCGCGGGTGCTGGCCATGGAGGAGGGAGTTGACCCACTTATTCAACGTCTCTTCCGAAAGACGAAGCCCAGTTTTCCATTTAGGATTACTTTTTTACTCCTAGATGGAGAGTGCAGTCCTTTTTTCTTAGTAAGTCTAGCGGGATTCGAACCCGCTTTCCCGGATTACGAATCTAGCGCTCTATCCGATAGCTACGCTGCGATTCTGAAAGCGTTAAATAAAATAGCGAAACATCAGCTTCAAGTTCTGGATAGAGATATACGTTCAGCTATTAACACTAGAAATAAATTCGCCTCTTTGCGACCGCACACATTTTTTCAAAATATCTGTTATCGTAATACTAGTTGTTATACTAGTTGTTATCGTAATACTAGTTTAATTGTCTACAAAACGTTAAAAATACAAATAGTTGGAAAGCAGACATAAAGAGCACCTAATAAGTCTTTACTGCATTTAAAAAAGGTCCAAGCTGAAGCTGTAAAGCAAAGTGGGGCTTTAGGCGGTTGTCCCCAAATTAAGAGAGCGAAAACCCCTTAGAAGAAATGTTAAGCACTAAGGGGAAGAGACCAGAATTGCTCCTTAAACGTCTACCCGTGAGGAGTAAGAATAACATAGTTCGATACCATAGTTTCGACGATATATTTTTAGTTTTATAGTTTATCCGTGTCTTGCTTTTACTGGCCGAATTAATTCCAGATCTTGCCTTTACTGGCCGAATCATTTCGAGATCTTGCTTTCAAGAATATATGACTTTGAGGTGTATAGGTTTGGCATTTATGGGTTAAAAGTTCAAACGACTTGATCTCGTTGGTTTACAGGTTGTGATTGTGATTCTACGTAGATAGAAATTTATAATTCGCGTTATTTTAATTTATGTGAATTATATGATTTTGAACCCTCTTACCACATGTATCTCATAAATGTGACGTGATACGAATTTTTGGAGAACGGATTCAGTTTCAGCATGTCAAAATATATAGGAAACAGTCGATGTTCCTTTCGGAACAAAATACTTTTTTTATTCTGTGGTCCTGTGATATTAAAAAAATGTGTCACACAATTCAACGACACTATCTTTTTCCTAATTACGACCAGCATTGTTTTACCTCAATGATCGAATAAGAACTGATAACGCTACTGAGTCGTGATTGATTGGTAGACTATACAAAATGCTCTCCTATTATTAAAAATATATAGTAATGGTATATATTTTGGTATATGTATATATGGTATATATAATGGTATATATATTGAAAATAAAGTAACAATTAATTTACAATCGATATCGATGTTATTTATTATATCAATTTTATTGATATGATTGATTGTAATAAATAACAAATCAATACATATTAGAAGGTTGAATTAGTTCTGGTCTTTAGCAGTAGAGCAGTAGGCCTTAGTAACAAGCTAATGGTTAATACAAATGTTGAAATCTGAAAACACTGAAAGATTTGACATTTTTCTATGACATATGTTGCGCGCTATGTTACTGATAATTTCATTATTTATACGCGTCTAAAATAGATCATACAAAATTGCATTTTCGACATTTATTACTTTTTTTGTTTGATTTGAAAAAATTGGCAACTGAAGCTTATAAAATGCTTGTTATGGTGATCAAGCTCCATCGTATCTTCCAACTGTAAATTTTGATTTCAACGATTTAAAAGTGGTGATTTCGATTTGAGTGATAAAGAACGTACTGATCAACCAAAACAATTTGAAGATTCTGAATTGCAAGCATTATTGAATGAAAAGATCGCTCAAACGGAAAAACAATTGGCTGAACAATTCAACGTCGATAAATCAACAATTTTTAAACGTCTACACGCCATGGGAAAAATTCAAAAGGAAGGCAAATGAGTTCCATATGAATTGAGTGAAAGTACCATTACAAATCGTTTGCTGAATATCGCCATGTCTTTGTTTGCCAGACAGAAAAAAAGAGTTTTTTGTGACGAATTGTAATTGGAGATGAAAAGTGGATTTATTTTTATAATCCATAAGAGTGAAAAAAATCATGGGTTGATCCAGGACAACCATCAACATCGACATCAAAACAAAACATTCATGGTCACAAAGCAATGTTCTGTATTTGATAGGATATGGAAGGTGTAATGTACTATGAGCTTCTAAAACTGAATGAAACAGTTACGGGGGAGCAATATCAGCAACAATTGAACAAATTGAATGATGAATTGATGCAAAAAAGGCCAGCGATAGCTAGCAATAGACGCAAAGTGATTATTTTGCACGATAATGCTTGACCACATGTTGTTTCAATCGAACCTTAAACGAACATTGTTAGAGCTCGAATGGGAAATCTTTTTGCATCCAGCATACTCTCCAGACTTATCACTATCTGATTACCATCTACATTTCCGATCGATGCAACACGCTTTGGCAGATATATACTTCAATAATTACGAGGATGTGTAAAAATGGGTGTCTAACTGGATTGCTTCGAAAGACAGATCGTTCTATCGTTGTGAAATGTTCTGGCAACTATGTTGCCAGAAAGATGAAAAAAAGTCACAACTAACGACGTAAAATACTTTGATTGATGTAAATTTAATCACTTCTTTAAAATAAAGATAAAAAATTGACAAAATAAAACCAAAGTTAATTCAACCTTCTAATATTACGCGAACGAACATGTTTCAATCTTTCCAACGTCATGCAGCAGATAGCGCTACAGTCAACCGTTTTGAATTAAGGCCATATACTTTTTTGTGAGACAGATTATATCTCAACTTTTGCTGCGAAATATTTCAATAATTTTTCAGTAACATGTTTCCGAGATTTCATATTAACAGAAAATCTAAAAAAGAATCAATTTCATCATTTTTTGACTCGGAACAAGCAAATAATTCTTTAATCATAAATCATAAATATAAATCATAAACATCATCGTTGCATACGACTTTAATTTTTAGAATTACTTTGGATCGCTCCAGAGCTCTTGCCATTAACGGTAACGCCCGGGAGCGTTGCGACACAAAAGGGCGATGTCTACAGCTTCGCAATCATTTTGGAGGAAATAGTGGTTCGTAGTGGACCATATGAAGTAGCCAGGACATTTATGACAGCGCAAGAAGTAAGACTCCTTTTAATATTCGATCATTTAATCGTAATCTTCTATTTATCTATATTTATTAATATTATATTAATTTTTTTTTTGTATTTTCAAGATCGTAAGCAAGGTTTCAGCGTCAGAAAATCCACCGTTAAGGCCAGAAGTTGCCCCAAAGGATTGTCCAGCGGACATATTATCACTGATGGAAAGATGTTGGCACGAAATTCCCGAAGAACGACCCAGCTTCCATATGATCCGCGGCATAATACGAAGAATTATGAGGTATGATTCGATAATGTAAAGCTTTAACAAAGGTAAAAATTAATCAAAGATAAAAATCAGAATTATGAAAACAGTATTTTATTTTCAAAGTCTTCTTAATGTTTTTTTTTCCCGATAACACAATGACTGTATTTTTCTTTGTTAACAATGAGAACGATAACGCTAGTTATATCTTCATATCATAATAACTGGCAGTCGGTAATCTATCTTATAAAGTAAAAAACTGATTTAGCCATTAATATTTATCTTATACATTCGTATAAATTGAATATATAAAAAAGAAAATCTCTGAATCTTATTCGGAACAACAGGATTTTTGATAACCCGTTGCATTTTGAGTAATAGTATCCAATCAGAACCACAACATTGATTCGATCTAACCTTCACTCTATATTGTCAAGAAAATATTTTCACTAGAAATTAAAAAATATATTTTATGTATCCTATCTTTATAATAACATATTCACTTTATTCTGTTGAAACATTCATTTATTTAAAGTCAGTTCCACTCCACAGTTGAATAAAATATTCACACGTAAATGTTATCGAATGCGTTAATGTTTTAGAGGATACTGCGAGAATTTGATGGATGATTTATTACGGCGGATGGAACAATATGCCAATAATTTAGAGGCCCTCGTCGAGGAAAAGACTGAGCAATTAAGCTTGGAGAAGCGTCGTAGCGAAGAATTATTGTATCAAGTGCTTCCAAGGTAGTGGAATCATTACATATCTCTCCTCCTCGAGCATTCGACTTTTTCGCTCTATTGTAACGGAGCGGAATTTTAAAGGCAGGTCGCAGGTCAACTTATGGCCGGAGAGATGGTGCAACCAGAGCAATTCGAGTCTGTCACCATCTATTTCAGCGATATTGTTGGCTTCACGGCATTATGCGCGCAAAGTACACCTATGGAGGTTGTGGACTTCCTAAATGATCTTTACAGTACCTTCGATCGTATTATCGGATTCTATGATGTTTACAAGGTGGATAATAAAATAGAAATTATTTCTTCTTAATGAGAAAAATTTTTTGGCTAATATGAATCTTGATATTAAGATCACATTGTACGTATGCCATTCACAAGTACTTTCTAAAGAAGTATGTTGGGAACTAGGTAAAAATGGAGCCATAAATTGATAATTTCATCGATTCTCTTCGCTGAGATGATTCCAGCAATAGGTGATATATGGGATCAACTCGGTAGTTATGATACTCAAGATACCCAGAGTAGTTAGATACTCTAAGTCCAGTCAGAATCATAATGTTGATTCGACGTTGACTTGACGTTGAAATGGTCGATGATCCAATCCTCATCGAATCAACCTTGAGTCAATGTTATGGTTCTGACTGGGACGATAGTCGGTGGCGCAGCGGCTAACCATCGGTCAGCAGATTACGCGGTCGCGTCCAAAGTGCCTACGACGAGTTTCGACCACTGAAATGATCACACATCTGCCATTTAAGTCGTAAAAAGTAAAACCAACCCAACGTCAGAACCATAACGTTGATTCGACGTTGATTTGACATTGAAATGGTCGATGAAACGTTGAATTAATGTTAATTCAACGACGTCCTCAACGACGTCCTCATCGACGTCGAATCAACGTTCTGGTTCTGGGCAAGTTGGCCACGCCGAGACTGCGATTCGAACTCACGTAGGCTGCTGATTGATGACTAGCCACTACGCCACCGATCACCTTCTATCTAATCTGACTAGCCATTTTGACTTATAACAACCAAGTTGATCCTATGTGTTATCTATTATTAGAATCATCTTGACGAAAAGAATCGAATGAAACCATTAATTCCTGATCCCATTTTCGCTCAGTTTTCAACACATTCCTTTCTTTAAGTAAAATTCTACTTAAAAAATAGCTTAACAGTCAAGTCATTCAAACTCAAGTAACTTTTCATTCATACAGTATATCTAATGCAAGACACAACAATCCTTATGTAGATAGAATACATCAAATTAGGCAAAAGTTTTACTATCGTATTTTTTTAAATTACGTGAAATTTCGAGATATATAAGATTTGTTTTTTATTGATGAACTAGTGTAAACTTCCGAAGCTTAAAAAAAATAAATATATAGTTGAGATTTTGTTGAAAGAAGAGAAAAAAGAAAACTGTAGCGTAAAATAACGTAGTCAGTTCAATTCACAATAGAGAATAAACCTATTAATGACAACAACTCCGTAAATACAATGAGATTTTCATTTAAGAAATTTAAAATTACCTACATATAATCTTCTAACGACTATTCAAGGTTAAACCAATGGCATCTTATATTCCCCTCAAAGTCATAAAACGTAAGCAACATTTTTTCCTAAAACCTCATGATTTCCAGAAACTATTTAAATTAAAATGGACATTCTGTATATAATCTTTTAATAATATGTTGCTTACGAGTTACATTTCTATTGTATAGCTATCATTTGTATGTAATATTATTTAAATAGAATATTGCAATTAATGTATGCATTACATGCAACACATATATGTTATATTGTACACTATATTTTGTAATATTACGACAATATAATCGTCATATATTGTGTTTGCCGGGGTATTAAGCTCCGCGCAATATTTTTTATTAGATTTTAAATGCCATTTATAGGTGGAAACTATAGGAGACGCGTATATGGTCGTATCTGGTCTTCCGGAAAGGAACGGCGATGAACACGCAAGAGAGATTGGACTCATGGCTCTAGCAATATTAGACGCAGTCAAATCGTTCACTATAATGCACAAACAAAACAGTCAACTAAGCGTTCGTATTGGTGTGCACAGCGGTCCAGTCTGTGCCGGGGTGGTTGGTCAGAAAATGCCTCACTATTGTTTATTTGGTGACACAGTGAATACAGCGTCTCGAATGGAATCTTCTGGTCTACGTAAGACAAATTTTCTCGTATATTAGAAAGATAATACTGGTCAGCAAAAATTTTTCATAATATATTGAATGAATCATAATCTTTTATAGTCATATATTAATACACTCACCTACAAAAACCACGGGCCTATAAAAACGGGCCTATAAAAAACTTACAAAGAAACTAAATAATACAGTTTTGTAACATATTTGAATAACGATAATTCAGTCAAAAATCATCGTATTAAAATGAAATAAAATTCAAATTAGAGCTTGGATATTTTTTGTAACAACCGGAAACCTAAAAATGAATTATAAAAAATGTTTTACCAAATGGCGGATGTTGAAGACAGACTTGATTGCAGCATAACTTTATAAAACAAAATCATAAAAAAATGATTAAAATATGGATTTGTTAGGAAATAAATGAACTTAAAACCTCATACATTTTTGTACTAAAGAACTGATTCCCCTGAGCAATACAATGAGAAAAAATTGGTTTTTTAACTGCTGCATTGCTCAGGGAAATCCGTTTGTTCATGCAAAAATGTATGAGATTTTGAGCTCATTTATTTGCTAATAAATCCATATTTTAATAATTTTTCTACGACCTTCTTTGATAAAGTTACGTCGTTTTGAAGAAAATGTTACAAAATGGATAACTTTTTCTTGTAAAATCTGCAGTTCAGAATAAAAATTATCGTGGAACATTTTTCCAAAAAGGAAATTAACATGTAACATGATCAAAATGCTTCACGTAGTGATAGATAATCGGATTTAAATCTCGTGTAAGTACGTGCATATACATATGCATGCGTGTGTGCGTGTCCTGCTTTTAATATTACCCAGGATTAACGATGTGGACATAGCAGGAATCTAATTCCATGTGTGTATATGTGTGTGTGTGTTAAGTTTAATAGTGCATATTGCTTCCTCTCGTATTTAGCAATTCTTTTGTTTCGTTGGAGCATACTGTAAATCAAATTTCTGATTTCTTCTTGTTTTACATTGTTCTATTCTTCTTGTAAAGCGTTGCGAAATGTTGCAAAACGTTTGAGTATTATGTTTTCTTATTCTTCATTTCAGCATGCTGCCCATAAATGCTCGATAAGATTCATACCCGGACTCATAACATTTTCTTCAAAACAGCATAACTTTATAAAAAAAATCGTAGAAAAATAATTAAAATATGGATTTGTTAGGAAATAAATGAGCTTAAAACCTCATACATTTTTGTATTAAAGAACCGATTCCCCTGAGTAATACAATAATTAAACAAACTTTTTTTCCGAATCGAAGTCTATCTTCAACATTCGCCATTTTGAAGAATATTTTTTATAATTCACTTTTAAGTTTCTGGTTGTTGACAAGAAATGTCTAAGCTTTAATTTGAGCTTCGTTTCATCTCAATATGATAATTTTTGGCTAAGTTATCGCTATTGAAAGATGTTAAAAAACTGTACTAAAATTTAATGACCCATTTTTTGCGGATGAGTGAGATAAAAAAGACAATGAAGAAAACTATTTATCTTTGGTTTAAGATTAAGTAATATTTTACTTTTTATTAATTAATAACATACAAAATAACATACAAAAATGATAACAATAACATGTAAAAATTAAAACAACACAATATAATTTTTTATTGCAATTATACAGGGTGTCCAATTTTAAAGTTAATAGTGCAATATTTCGCAAACTGATGATTTTATTGAAAAATGTTTCAAACAAAAGTTGTAGGGTTTAGAGGGGGACATCTGACGGTGACCTCGGTTTGACCTTGGATTGTCGTTTGAAGATCACGTGATGTACCCCTCTGAACCCTACAACTTTTCTTTGAAACATTTTTCAATAAAATCATCGGTTTGCGAAATATAGCACTGTAAACGTTAAAATTGGACACCCTGTTTACGATCTTTCTTTCCGAGTCGTAAATTTTAGAGTTGCGTTGACGTTTCGCTAACTGTTTGTGGGCGACTAGTTTCATATCCATTTTATCAGTTTTAAACATGTTCTTCTTGTCAATTTTATATTTTAGATAGTTACCCAGTAAACACAAGTATCATCGATGTTACAATGTCAGCTAAATCATATGATATGTTACATAACAGTTGCTTTGTTATATAACAAAGTAATATATAACAAAGCAACTGTTATATAACATACCAAATGATTTAGCTGACATTATAACATCGATGATACTTTGTGCTTACTGGGTAGAAATTACAGACTTGACTACAAATTCGACGCATGCACATAAAGAACGATGGTCCTATGTAAAGGGTGTCCCAAAATTCATGCAAGATTTGAATTTTGCGCCATTTGTGCGGTAAAGTGTTGCCAACGAAAAAAAAAGACATCGTGACAGCTGACAGTTCAGGGTTTTTTAAATGGAGTGCTACACGAAAGAACAACGCGTTTTTATTGTTGAGCAATATTTTAAAATGGATGTTGATTTTTCGAACAAAATCATCTTCAGCGATGAGGCTCATTTTCATCTTGATGGCTTGGTTAATCGACAAAATTCGCATTTGGGATTCAGAAAATCCACGAGTGATTGTTGAGAAACAAATGCATCCACAACGTGTCACTGTTTGGTGCGGATTTTGGGCTGGAGGCATCATCGGACCATTCTTCTTCGAAAATGCGGCTGGTCAGGCAATAACAGTTAATGGTGCTTGCTATCGCGACATGATAATCCAGTTTCTTGTGCCTAAATTGCAAGATATGGATGTGGACGACATGTGGTTTCAACAAGACGGTGCCACATGCCATACAGCCCGAGAAACAATTCAATTACTGCATGAGTCATTTTCTGGTCGTGTAATTTCCCGTTTTGCTGATCAGATTTGGCCGCCTAGATCATGCGATTTAACGCCGTTGGGTTTTTTTCTTTGGGGTTTTTTGAAGTCTAAGGTTTTTGAAGTCTAAGGTCTAAGGCCAACACTAAGGTCTAAGCCCACGACTTGAAGGAGGAAATTGAGTGCTGCATCAATGAAATTCAGCCAAATTTATGCAAAACGGTCATGGAAAATTTCCACAAAAGAGTGCATATGTGCCAGCAAAGCCGTGGAGGCCATTTACCCGATATGCTATTCCATACATAACCCTATACTGTATATTTTATGAATCAATAAAAAATTTACAATTTTTAATTATAAATCTGTTTTCTATCAAAATTACTTTTTGTGTGAATGTTGGGACACCCTTTATATTTACCTCTCTCGCAACTTGCTCCTATGCAACTCCTATGCAACTTGAACATACTTCAATTCCCACATTTTCCTTCCATGCATATGTTTTAAGTCCACAATTTGGTTAATATGTAATCGTAATTTGTATTTTGCAGCTTTAAGAATACATGTTTCTGAAACGACGAAAAATATTTTGGATAAATTTGGGACTTTTGGTCTTGAGCTCCGAGGAGAGGTGGAACTAAAAGGAAAAGGCAGAGTGACGTCTTACTGGTTGACAGGCTGTTCAGAGCCTGACTCCAGATTACCCGTGTCGAAATATCGTCGGCTCAGCAGCAGTCAACCCGAGACCAATCTGAATCCTTTAATTTTTCCTCCGAATAATACAAACGGTCCTAAATCCAATAACAACACATTCATCAACTTGACAGAATTGTAGTGATAACGTTCAGTTCTTCAAACGCAAGAAATTGCGTCGAAACTGCGAATTATGAATGTGTTGCAGCTACTCGACATCCACAGATTAAAATCGTTAATAATCGTCATAGAATCTATTCTCTTTTCGTGTCTTCATTCCGACAAACAAGCGCGAAATAACATTGTACCAATGTGAATTGGGTATAATATCGTAACAAATATATTGTTTAGGCTTGTTACAACTTTTATTCGGAATTTTACATCGACAGTTTGTAATTTACTTACATAAAATTTAATAGACTCTTCTAGAACAGGTATGCGTATTAAATTAGTATTAGTTGAAGGACACTGCGCTCATTTTAGTTTTGTCTCACAATAGAGCTACATCATACTATTCGTACATACAATTTAATCCATTTGTCTATATAATAACAATTTACATAAACTATGATTTCTTATCCTCATCTAAGATGTAAAAGTTTGCAAAAAGACATAAAGCTGTTCAACTTTACTACTTTTTCAGAATACTTAAATATTACAGTGCCTTCTTTACGTTATGCTATATTACTACGTTATATAATTTATATCAACATATATGCTTTTATACATAATAATAATGATATTAGCATCTCCGAATTCTTTTTTATTATTTATTCTATTATTATTGTTATTATTATCATGATGATATCGCTAATATAAATGATTATAAATCTCTGTAATCTATATTTTTATTATCATTAGAATATCTCTCTTGTCCATCGACTCGGTTCGCGATAAAACCTTGGCAATAGATATTATCGTAAGTTACTTAGATGCCAGGAACATTATTAGTCTGCAAAAAAATTATACTTGGTATATTACGTCATACACCACACACACACACACGCGCGCGCGCGCACATGCACACGCACACGCACATACACACACGCGCGCGCGCGCTGTATTGTAATATTGTAATAAAGTAATTGCAACAGCTACGTTATTCTAGGACTGATGATCCTTTACCTAAAATTGATAGCTTTAGCGGCGAGAAGTCTATTACACTCGGCCGTGTCCGGTAATGGTAATGGTAGATATGGACTCTCATTATCCTGTTCAGTGAATTCGAATCTATGAATTCTCGGTTGCACTTTCATGTCGCCAAACGGTCCTTTCAAGATCAAATAATGAAGCGGTAGAGGATATGTAGTCTTTGACTTTAGAATTAGCTACAAAACAAATTTTTCGTGCGGATTAGAAATCGTGCTGCGTCCCGTTCACTTAAAACACTACGAAGAATTTGATATTTCATTTACAAGAGGTTAAAAGTATAGTTTCTTTTTTCATACTTGATAAGTCATGTCTCGTTCTGAACTCTGTGTAGGGTCACGTTGACTACTATTGATCCTCGCCTTTACTACCCACTGGTTATTGAAAGCCGAAAATCGTGAGGTTTCGTAAAAAAGTTTGTGAACAAATTCATCAGTACGATACGGCTTCATCTGTAAATCTATAAATGACAAAATTTTATAGATGACTGAGATCCTTCAAACGTCAACTAAAACAATAAGGAAAAGACAATGAGATTAAATATGCGTAAAACTTATCGATCGATACTGATAAGGCTAATTACACGAATTGATAACAAAGCTAGTTATACAAATAGATTAGAGGCACGATTTTCGCTGCAGCTAAAAGAACAAAAAATCAACTACATATTTGCCCTACAGAGATCTGCAAAGTTTTACATTAGTAACGTGACACATAAACGAAACTTTATACGTAATGACGTCTAACAATTGATACAGACCGTTGAATGTGATTTTCTCGTAGGACAAAAGATCAAAAACATTGTCATAGAGCCTACGTTCTTCTAAAGTTCGGGCATCGATATCGAGCAAAGCTTCCATCACATCCGCACCCGTACGATGGGGATGAACGCAGTGAGCCTCATGTTCCAGACGCTCGTGATTCGGTCCACGCCATGGACAACCGATCCTGCTGAATTTGCAACTAGATATCCTGCACAAGTAGGTCGATATTAATGTGAGCACATCCGTGCACACACGAATACATGTATATAAAAAAAAAAAAGAAATACATTGGGATGCAAGAGAGCGTACGGAGGGATTTTAGAAAAGCTTTCAGGAATTACTTCTAATCTGTAGTACATATTAAAAATGAGAGAAATAACATCTCTTTGCACATATAAATAATTGCCTTCTACTACTATGTATTTGCGGAGCCACCTGTAACTATATCATGAAACATCAGTTATATTAGTTGGTGACATCGACCGAAAGTCCCGTTATCAGCAAATTCTACGAATTTACCTTTCTTCGCACATAGCTTCCTCATGATGTTCTACGTAGTTACGCGGAAACTCCTTCGCGCAATATTGACACTCAGCAGGTAACTCAGATACAGCTTTTTCTACTGCCAGATTTCGAGATGCGGAAGTTTTGCTGATTTCGATTCTACAGTTGGGGCATGTTGCCAACTCATCCCGCAGCCTAGCATCTGCGAGGACATGTGTGAAGCAACCAGCACACATCAAGTGTCCATTAGTACACTGTGAACATCATTGCGGCATGTATTATTAACGTTCTCGTTGTTACAATGCTTTTATATAAAAAAAGACTAAGCCTAGCTTGTACATGATACATTATGTCTTTCAAGTAAACGCATTATCCAAGATGTACATGTAATTTTTCTTAAATCGTAGATTCTAACACACGATTCCTTGTGATATACACAGACGATATAATACTTGGAACATGAACGTAACGACGAATTCGATTTTTCTTATTTTATGCATAGTATTAGTCTTTTTTTCATTCTTACTTATATATGCTACAGAAATCCCGGAACAAAATCAACACAAATAGAACAAAAAGGTTAGTGCCATGTATATTACCATCATTTGATGTTTAAACCTGAAACACAAAATCGTACGGGTACTTATTAATTATAGATGCACTTGTTTTGAGAATGTTTAAATCATCATGAATACTTTCTAAAGAATTATCATTAATGGTGCCAATATATTGATGATAGAAAGGAAGAGACAAGGATGATGATATATAGGATAAGTGAAATAGGGTGTTTTATGCGAAATAACTAACTAATAACCTTTAAGAATATTTATTTTGTTCTGCACTATACAGTTTGTACAAATCTTTCTCTTTTTGTATTCGCTTTCTCTCCCTCACTCTCACTCTCTCACTGTTAATTATAACCGATGAGCATCAGTTTCGCATTAATCTATGATAAATCTTTATAGCCATTGTATGTACTCTGAATATATATATCCCTCCCTCTTAATAATTCTTATAATAATAATAATAATAATGATAATAATAATAATAATAGTAATAATATTAGTATAGTATTTCATAAAATTCAAATATGTCGTTATATTATATACTAAACTATACAGAGATCTAGGATCTTAATTAATTTACTATTTATCTAATTGATTTAATAAAAAAATATTGATAAACTTGAAGTTCCAAATCCCACTATTTTGGGGATTATAGAAATGAATGTTTTTTTTTCTTTTTATAAATGTGGTAGGCCGTATTTAAAAAGGGATAGTGCAAGGGGTTTATAAAAGTTTATAACTAAAAAATACAATGGACAAGTTTCGTATCACAAATAAAAACATCTATGCACTATTGATATATCTGCATAAAAAGTCTGAGTTTACATATATATCTATATAACAATAGGAATATCAAGATAAGTATGGTACAGCCTTCTTACGATGTTATAATAATTGTACCAATTTTATATAAATCTTTTTACACCATTATAGGTCAATAATTTTCTAAAGAAAAATGTTGAAGATAAAATTAACAGTACTAATGAATTTGGATATCCTACAAACAAGTACTCTCCTTGTAATCAATGTTCTAAACGAATATGGATAACTGCATGCATACATACACACAATAAATCAGGAGTGTTACCGAATACTCCATATATGTAATATTTACTTCCATTAGTTGATATTACATAAACTGTTTTATATACGTAAATATAAAAACGATAAGATGCCAATACTATGTAAAAGTAATAAATTTACATGTAGAAAATATGAGATTATATATAGATAAATATATATAATCTATGTATAGATTCTTGTGATGGAAAATTTTGAATAATCTATTAGATATTTAATAAATAGTAAAGCAAAGATTTGCATATATGTTTTGTAGTGTTAATTAAATTTGTAAGTATCAACAACAAACAAAAGAAAGTTTTATATGTATAAATCTGCATCAGTAGATCTTTATTGATAATTAGAAACATTTTTGCGCATTCTTCCTATAAAGAAAAAAATATTAGGTTACCTACCTGCGGGACATAACATGTCTTGTTATAATAGACAACCTCATTATGACCTGAATATAAAACCCAGTTTATAGAACAAAGGAAGGGGGAAAGCTGTGTAATTACAATCATAGGATTCTTTGTGGTATATATTTTAATAATATCATTATCAATGTGTCAAACAGATGAAACTTAAGAAACTTGATACCAAGATCTATGTGTGTGATATTGTAAACATTGAATTATTTCAACAAAAATAGAAATGGGCAAAATTTAACTTTTTCTCTCTCTCTCTCTCTCTTCATTCCATATTTAGATTAGAAATTTATATAATTTATAGCTGCTAAGAAAAAAATAAAGCAAAATAAAAATGAGAGAGAGAAAGAGAGGAATGGAGGAAGAGAGAAAAGGGAAAAAGGAGAAGAAAGAAAGAAGGGAGAGAGAAAGACAGAAAGAGAATCCTCAGTAAAAGGATGAAACACAGGAGGAAAGTTTAGGTTATAGTTATTAGGTATAGTCTTCTGCAAATTAAAAAAATAATGATGACAATCAAAATAGATTACTTTCCTTCCAGATATTTTTCTTCTAAAACAACAAACCCTTTTTTACAAAAATAATATAATACGAACGACACGTCGAGATTCTCAATGGTACCTAAGTTTCTCTCTACGGATATATCTCTTCTACGTAACATATGTATATATACTGAATATATATATATATATGTAAAACGACATAAATCCACATATACACCTTTTACATTAAAGAGTAAAACTCACATATACGCATAGTGTATAAAAACCGACCGACTTACGAGCTTGGTAAACGGGTCGATCGACGAGGTCGCTAGAGGGGAGTGTAATGGTATAAGGAGGGCAACGTCACAATTATCCTCGAGCGTGAAAGAACGCCGCGACTCGCGGAAGCCGGAATGCGGCAAAGGAGAGTCACGTCCAATCTTTCGCTCAGATCATAACCGACGAAGGGAATTTCCAACGACAGCGACAACGAAACGACGAGGACGAGGATGACGCGCGATTAGCTAGGCACAGCCGCCCGGGAACTTACCTGATAGACAGCCGATCGAGGCAGATCGAGGCAAACTGCGCAACAGAGGATACCGCCCAAGCGGTGCTCCAGCTTCTGTTCAGTCTTGTTGCCATCGCCGCGCACCACTTTGCGACGCTTCTTGTCCGGCTCGAGGAAGTCCTCGGCCTTCTCTAGGTCCTCGCGCATCGGCGTCGCAGCGGCCGTGGCCGCCGCCGGCGTACCGGCCTGTTCCGAGACACCGCTCGACGAAGCAGGCTCGTCACTCGGATCCGCCATGTTGCTTGTTTTGGAGTTTTCCCCTGAGCGAGCGCAAGAAATGCGCAGATGTCGAAGAAAGACACCCCACTCTCTTCCTAACCTGACGTAACAACGAAACACGCGCACGCGTGCATGCGTACTTTTCTGCGCTTCACCTCTTTCTGCTCCTCGTATCCTAACCGTTCTAAAATACTCGTATTCATAGTTCTTCCTTATCTTAAGAATGGAAGAAGCCTCGATGAAGGATTCCTTGAATCTCCACCTTATTTCATAAATGGATCTCGAGTCTTCCTTCCAGAAGGAAGAAAAGAAGGAAGGCTGCGTTCCGATATTCACTGTCGGTCCTGAAACCCTATAATATATGTGACATGAACTATAGATTTTTAGTACTAGCAGTGGATATTGGAACGCAGCTATCTATAACCACAGACTTCTATAGTATAACTAGACTGCTAACTTCGACTCAATACATGACCCCGAAAAGTATGTACCGTCCGACATTCACATCTGATTGGTTGAATCAAAACACATTTCTTCTAATTGGATGGGCCATATTGCTTATATATCCCTTCTCCTTGTGGACTACCAATTCACGCATGCGCAGATGTTTGATTCCCTTATGTAATATCAGAGAAACCAGCAGCTGGGTTCTGTAACTCGTTATTGGAGTTAACGACACTTTCGTTATCGTTGCGTAGCTTTTCTACAGTATACAAAAGCTGTGCAACGATAACGAAAGTGTCGTTAAATCCAATAACGAGTTACAGAATCGCGGTACTGGGGCTGTATTCCGTACTCGCGTACTAGTTGTCGGTGTCGTTAGCAGTATTATGCAGCTTTTTTGTTATATGAAAAATCTGCGCAATGCCGCTAACGACACCGACAACTGTCGATATGCAGATACGGAATACATCCCCTGAGAGCGGCCAACACGGCATTTTCTGCGACACCGATTTTCCGCACTGGGAAAGGATGCCATCTGCATCCATTTTGAGAGGAGAACTATGATGCTACATCCACTTTCAGGTCTCGGTGGTAAAATCTGCATGTGGTGGAAGTCCGTGTTACATCCACTTTCAAGCGGTTTATATCCGTGCTGCAACCGTAGTTGCCATCTCTATACCAGACTATGCTCAGAGGACTAAAACGAGCGGGGGGAGGGGGGGGAGCAGGAAAAATAAAAGTACGTATTAAATATTAAATCTTCGAATACATGTTGCCATATCAAAGTCTCCTCTATAATAAACGATTTGACACGGCTGGAGACATATGATGTATCGTTGCCCGCGTCCCGTTCCCTTCGTCCTGCTTCTCAATTCAACATCCCGTCCGCTCCGGACATTCGCTCGTAGCACTGACAGTGGCCGTCGGTGAGCATTCGATCCGCTCGGAGGAGCACATGTTAATTAACGCCACGAGACTCCGATTATAAATATCCCGCGAGTCGACGAAATATCTGAACTTTTAAAAAAAGCATCAAAGAAAATCATGTTGATGTTGTCATAGGTGAAATCTCACCCTGGTATATATTTTTTTATTATATTATATTTTCGAAATAAAAAAAGCCAAACGAATGCAATTAAATGTTATTTATCATCATTGAATATTAGATGAAAAGTAAGAGTTATTATCCGCAGCGGATAATCTAACATTTAATAAGAACGAGACAAAATTCGCATGGGATGAAATTCCACTTTTTAACGCTACCATGATCTTCAATTATTCTCCGGCGTCACAACAACTTTGATACTCTGTACAATTAGTTGCTAACACATTTTCTAATCGTACACATTCCTCTTTAATCAACATAAAGCTAACAAATGTCCGATGCTTCGACAGAGTAATTTTCTTTATTTTCAGTAATCAATAAATAGAGTGCATCAATGTCGCTTACAGTTGAAAGGCCTCCTAGCATTCCCTTCGTCGTTCCGGAACCATCGAGAAAAGAAGAGACGACCAAGGGCAACCGCCGCCGAGGCCCGCAATATTTACATCGCGCCGATTGTGTTGATCGGCTCGCGAGTGACGACACTTTTTGCCTTTCGTATTATAATACTCGCGCACCTCGTGTATTCGACCTCATTCTATCAACAGCAGCCGTGCGCTCTTCACTTTCGTCTCGTGTAATTGAAAGAAATGTATCTCGTCGGTCCTCGAGATACTCAATCGGCACCGCGTCGGCATCGAGTTGATTAACCGCACGATCGAATCGGGAGTATCGGCATTAGAAGCGTGAGCGAGTGAAATCCGAAGGACTCCAGCAGCCGAGAAGCAGGACGCCGGCAGCAATACATCATGTTTCCAGGTATGTGGAATCATTTATTATGCGGGAGGTTTCCGATAACGAGAGCGGACGTTTGACGAATTTTCCGGGAATAAGAAGTCGGAATTTCGCTCTCGGCATTTACAATCCGTCATCATCCGACTAGTAATCATGACTTTATGAATCTATAATTACTCTCGTCAATCTCTGTTTGTCTAATTATTTATTGCGTTGTTGTATACAAGAGATATTGATCCAGACAGAGACGGATAACGGTCCATGAACGCGGATCTCTAATTCATCATGTTCTCAATCAAACATTCTGAATAATTCCCAACTGTGTGAGTATACCGGTTTTGTGTAGAATATTTAACGTCATACCGCTTCTTAGACTGCGACCCTTTTTGTTTTCGGTCAGCGCTTCTTTCAAGTCTGTTTACTCTCGTTACGGGATCTAAATTTAAATGGCCATTCGTAAAAGAGTATTTTCGAGAGCACACAACTGTTGTCTCCGCTTCTTGTTGTCATTTTTCTTCGCCAGCTCTTTCCAAGAGCTCCTATCTAGACATTCAATATCAATGAAGAAAAAAATCGTAGCGAATATTCTCCATTCATCCCGACCAAACATTCTTTCTCTACCGCAGCTTACTAACCAAGAACGCTAAATTTTTGTTCCAGACGTTGCGGGAAGCAAGTCCGGCGGACGCGGATGCCGCACCGGAGGATCCGGTTCGGGCAGAGCAAGGTCGGCCGGAAGGTAAAGTTTACAAGTTTCCTACACATCTGTGTTCAACTCTTTATGATCTTTGCCTTTATAACTTGCTCCTCATCAGCTCTCTTGAAAGCTTCAAGTCCCATTTAAATTTTCAATGTTGGAACAAAAATATAAAGATAAAAATTCCGTATCAAAATATATCCGTATTTTCGATTCGTCCCGATCAAAGATATTTTCTCTCTACCGCAGCTTATCAATCGGGAAAATTATTTTTCTGTTTCAGTTGTTGCGGAAAGCAACAATAATCCGACAGACGCGGACGCCGCACCGGAGGATCCGGTTCAGGCCAAGCAGAGTCGGCTTGAAGGCAAGTTTACAAGTTTACTATAGTTCTCTGTTTGACCCTTGGCGATCTAGAACTGGGATATAATTTCCGGCTCGACTTGAATTACGATCGCAGAGGGTAAACTACTTTTTTACTCGCCCGCATTCGTTGGTCAAATCTGATGAGCAAATGTGAATTTTTTGTTACAGAGTTGAGGCGGAATGTGGCCGGCTCTGACTGCAAGTCGTTTCGGTGAGTAAATACAAAATGAAAAGAGAAATAAAATTTCGCATGACGGATATGGGAGATAAAATATTGTTCGAGTCAATGCGAATTGCAAGTAGATTCTTGCATGTTGAGATTTTGCATGTGTGTGTTTGTGACGTTGAATAAAATACATTGCTCGAAACAATCAAGGGATTACTTGATCGATAATCTGCATTACATACGAGATTTAAAATACGGAATGATTCTCTTTTGATGTTCAGTCATCTGAATAAGAGATATTCATATGTACAAACGCAATACCGACATCAGCTGCTTTATTTTTATTTTTCAAGCGGGCCGCAGAATTACCTAACGATTTAATTATTTTATTACTTAACGATTTAATTATTTTATTACTTAACGATTTAATTATTTGACAATATTCAATTGTCCGTGTAAAATATATTCATACGCATAAATGCCGATACTGTTGGCTACTTTTCTTTTATTTGCAAAACAGGCTGTAGAATTATTTGGCAATATTGTCCATTCATCACGATCCTTATTGTCTCGAGTAGTGTATAAGGCGCGCAGAAATTGCGTCAGCGCACGCCGAGCTTGAGGTATCCTCGCTCGCGTGCCTTTGAATATCGCGGCCGCGATTATCAAAATACGTTTTTACCCGCGCTGCTAACAAAGAATGCTTAAATTTTCATTTCGTCAAAGTATCGCGAATGTAAAGTTCGTCGTGACGGAGCTATTATGCGTGAAAACTTTGCCTCGCTCCTCTCTCTTTGCGGTCCCACGGGGCGACCGGTTTCTGATTGTCTAATCTTTCCTCGGGTGCAATTGCGTCGCGAATATTTCACTCGTAGATATCGATACTCTCACATTTTCGCGACTTTTCAGACGCAATCGCAAAAAGCGCCGTAAAAATCCATTGGACGAGTCAATAAATTTTCACACGGTTTTTGCTCCTTGCCGATCGAGTTTATAGAGTCCGTTGCGCAGCGCGCAAAAAGTTTTCACCGATCGCTAGTAAAACGTTCGTTAATTGACGCAAATATCGCTGTTCTAATACCGCGTATCGACCGCGTCGCGGAAGTGTGGTGAAAATGTAGCAATCAACGTGGGACGTGCTGCAAGATGGATGCTACGCGACATAGAGAGCGGCAGCAGCATGCGCGGACATTGGTGGATTTGATTGGATGCAACAGGACATCATCAATATCATCATCGGTGAGTGTCTGACTCAATGCTCGCAGAGAGCTCTTTTATTATTACATTATGCACGCCGCAAATTTGCATTGACTTTTGTAACGAAAAATATATTCCATGAATTATTGCCATATATTATGGCCATATATAATTGCCATATATTGTTGCCATATATTGTTGCCACATATTGTTGCCGTATATTATTGCCATATATTATTGTCATATATTGCCATGTATTCTCGCCATATATTATGGCCACTTGAAATCGCGCGAACAATCAAAAAAACTGAATTTACCGGTAATCGCAAAGGCGCGCGGCAGGCGTCACAGATGGATGCCAGCAGCCCGTCTCAACTTTCAATTCCCAGTAGAGGCGGAGA